ATAAGGATTAGCTGGCTGTAGCCTGTAGACGAAGGGCAGCTTGATGTCTTTTTATTTTTATAAATAAAATAAATGTGTTTATGTTATGTGTTGTCTATGGCTGCTTTATTTTACAGTGGCAGACTTGAATTGTTGCTTAGTAAAGACAATCTGACCTAAAAAGTCTAAAACAAGTCCATTAGCTCATAAGTAGCAATACAATGAGTCATTTTTGTCTGGGTGAAAACTTATGATGTTACCTCGGAGACTCAGTCACCATTCATGGTAATAAGGAGTGCTGTCTAAGAAATTAGAACTGTTTTTAAAGATTTTCTCTCTTTAAAATCTAATATATTCATTGACATAGCACTGTGAACACAATACCCATCACTGTCAGAAGTGTAAGCATTGTTAGGTTAGTCATATAGCTGTATGAGGTTTTCTAGTAGTCTTCTAAAAACCATTTTATAAATTTTATTGCCCATGTATCTCCTTTTGTTCTTGTAGTCCCTTCCTACCCTAAAAGTAATATTAGGAAAGTGAGAAGTCAGATGGTGTATCAGGATTAGACTTTGAGAACACAGAATGAACAGAAGGGGTTAGAGGTCAAAGAACAAAAAATTATTGAAGAAATTGAAGAGGCTATCTTTGTTATTGGTACTTGGGTGATTAGGACAAGCCTAGAGATGATTTGTCCTTCTGGAAGCCACTTCCTTCCAATGTACATAGTTATCTTTAGAAACGAGAAAGTGACATCAAGAATGAAAGTAGGAGTTTCTTAGGTGAGTACTGTTCTTTAAATTCTTGATGTGCTCCTCTTTGTGTCAGGTGATTAGGATTTCTATTGATAACACAAGTTATAGAATTCCATTATGTTAACATGTCCTTTATCGGTATTTACCAGTGTTTATTTAGAATTTGTCTTCTGTGCCATTCCTGGTTTCAGGCAAATGATCCAAGTGTCTTTGGTCTTTAAATCAGTATCTGATTTTACTGATCTTCCTGATGCTCAACTGTTTATTTATTGGCCTGCGGTTACTTTGAAATTCTCCTAGTTTTAAAAAAAATTATTTTGTATAATTAAAATTTTTTGAGTTTTTTAGGCAGCGGCATTCATTTGTTTAATATTCAAAAATGAAAATACTCCTTTTTTTTCTTTAGAGATGCTATCTTATGGCCAATATAGTTTTTTGTAAGTCTGAAATTCCAGTTTCCAGTCTTGTGTGTATGTGTTGTTGTTTTGTTTTGTTTTTTGTCAGAAATTGATTTTCTTTTAGTAAGTCATAAGAGAGCCCTGTCAGGTATAATTATGAACTGGAAGTTGAATCATGATGAGATGGCTTTAGTTTACAATCAGAATTAACAGGAAAAGGGAATATTTCATTGATGTTCTGCTTTCTGCCCAGTTTGTATTCATCAGAAATAAAAAATTTTTAAAAAATATTTTTTAGTTATAGACGGATGCAATATCTTTACTTTGTTTATTCATTTTTATGTGATGCTGAGGATCAAACCCAGTGCCTCACATGTGTGAGGCAAGCGCTCTGCCACTGAGCCACAACCCCAGCCCCCATCAGAAATAAAATTTAATTTGAAGTATTTTTCTTAATGCCAGACAGTATTAAAACAGCATTATAATAAGGGTACATTTTACTTTGAATCTAAAGTTTAAATATGATTGTAGATTTGACTTCAAATAAGATAGAAAACATATAAATTTAAGATAGTCAATTTTTATAAAATCGGTAGCAATATTTCTGTTTCAGTTATTTTTGAAGCTGCCTTTGATAGATTATCATATTTGTACACTAAAATATTAATATTCTAAGTTTTTCACTAAACCCTTGGGCTATTCAGGTTTTTTTGTTTTTGTTTTTGTTTTTGGTACTAGAGACCTAGGGTCACTTAACACTGAGCCACATTCTCAGCCCTTTTTATTTGTGACAGGGTTTGGCCCCTTTTAATTGCTTAGGGCCTTGCTTAGTTGCTGAGGCTGGCCTTGAACTTGTGATCCTCCTGCCTTAGCCTCCTGAGCTGTTGGGATTATAGGCATGCACCATCGCACTTGACAGCTTGGGGTATGATTTTTTTTTTCTAATTTGTTTATCTTCTAAATAAAATTGGTACTTCTGAAGTGCTGTCAGGTGCCATACCCAAAGATAAAGGAGGACATGGAATTGTTCTTTTGCAGTTAAGTTGGGATCATACCATGAAGCCTGGTTACAGTGTTGAGTATGTTCTGACAAGTGCCGTTAAAAATCTGAACATATTCCTAAAGTTGAGTCGGCAAACATAAGCTTCTTAAGGAAGAAAATAAGCAGAGTTGAAATCGTGTATCTCCATTAAAGTCATTGCCTCCCTTTTCTTAGACATGTTTTATGCTTCTGTTTAAATTTGTGAATTTTATAACTTTTATATAAGTTTAATACTAAGCCTCTATATATGAAAGATAACATGTAGTAAAATGACAATATTCTTTTACTGTTTAATTTGAAAATTATAACTACCAGTGGTTGATTTTAGTTATATATAAAAACTATTCTTAATAATACTTAGGAATACTTAGAACTAAGAACAGTACTTGTTACTAAAAATCCTATGGAAAGCTTAAATACTCAGGATATACTGCAATGGTTTAAGTAGTTTCTGTTGAATCCAGAATTAACTTATTTCTAAAATACACGTAAGTTTTATGTTACAACACATAAGTGAATGCATTCCACTCTTAACAAGATTCTAAATCTTGTTAATTGATTTAGTCAATTAACAGAGGTTTGTGATTCTTATGCATTTTTTTGCAATCTGATTTTGATCAAGGGTTTTTTCCTATTAAGTTTAAGTATGATAGCACAGCCAATCTTTGAGTATCTATGATGAATTAGAATATAGTAGTATATTGAAAAATTACAATTTAAAATTTCAATTCGGCTGACATTTTTACTTACACACACACACACACATGTATGTATGTATGTTGTAGGTGGACACAATACCTTTGTTTTTATGTGATGCTGAGGATTGAACCCAGTGCTTCACAAATGCCAGTCGAGCACTCTACCACTGAGCCACAGCCTCAGCCCTACTTAATTTTTATTTACTAATAATTTCTTCATCCCTCTCTATCACTCAGGGAAACTTTCAGTAATGCTTGAAAGAAGCAGGCAAATTGAAAGCTTGTAATATTTAATTTTTGTTGGATTATCTGGTTTCTGAATGACTCATGAATAGAAAACCAGGGAATAGACATCAGGTTGGGTAATCCATATGTTGAATAATCCTTCCTTGAAAAAATACAGCAATGAACTAAGTATTCCATAGAAAGCTTTTTTTTAAAAAAAATTTATCTCAGGAGTACATTTTTCTGACAAAGAAAATGCTACTATAAAAAGCACCATGTAAAATAAATTTTTACATATACTAACTCATGACCCATAGAAAGTACTGAGTCTTTTATTGAGTTATTTTTCTGAGTATAGTCCTTTTAAAGAATGAAGTAATGGTTAAAATGTTCTGTATATCCTTACTATGTTTAGGGTCCTTTTAGTGTAAGTCTTACTATTCTATTTTGCCCCAGTGTCCTAGATGTGGCATTGCTCTTAAAACATAAAATTTAGCAACAGATATACAACTTAGGGTAACTTTGAAATAATATTTGGATATTTGTTATCTCCTCAGAATTGAAAACTTAGGACTTGGGAAATTTTAAAAAAAATCCTTATTATATACTGTTTGCATTGTAGGCATGGAAAAAATCTGACTTTTAGCTCTGCCATCAAATTGAAATTGCCCTTTGAATCCTCATATTTATAACCTTAGTAATTCCAACTAGTGAAACAAAAAAACCTTATAAATACTAAAACAGCTTGGACTAGACCCAGGTGGTTGCAGAGTTAATATACTTCATTTCATTGCCTTCCTGGAAATTTATATTAATTTATTTAATCATTGATACAGCACCATAGGTCTTCAAGAATGCATTTCAGGCATTGTCCAGAATTTTGTCAAATTTATCATCAGAAACCATATTGTTCTATAAAGTTCATTTTAAGCCAGCTGGATCTTTGTTGTTGTTATTGATATTTATTTATTTATTGTAAGAGAGTAAGGCATACTATATTCAAGAGAGGACCATGTTGATGGGTGTAGGGACCACTGTAAGTGTCTTTCAGTGGGGAAGAGAGACTGGGCTTAGCTCCTGAGACCTGTTGTTTTTTAAAAATCTACATTTATTTATAATCAGTTTAATTTCTAAACCTTTTATCAGTTTGTAGTGATCTTTGGCTATAACAATTACTGTTCCTACATTCTTCATAGAAACCTTATGGTAGAATCTTCCAACTAAAAACATTCATTAAATAGTTAATGCTAACATTATTATACTCATTCAGTTCACTTTAAAACATTTCATTTTTTCATTTAAAAAAAAAAAAGGCAACCAACAGATGGGTTATGGTGACTCAGGCCTGTAGTCAGATATTTGGGATGCTAAGGCCAGAAGATCACAAGGCTAAGGCCTGCTCCAACAACTTAGAGACACTGTCTCAAAGTAAAATTTTAAATAGAGGTGGGGATATAGATAAGAGGCAGAACACTCCTGGATTCAATCCCTAGTATCACACCAAAACCAAAAAGTTTTATTAAAAGATTGAAATATCTCAAAATTTAAGCAGCTTTATAGAGCCGTTTATCTCTTCTAGTGAGTGGTTAGGTGACTGTTAAACATTAAATTATTTCATATGGTTACTTGAATATATTTACAAGACTGTGCTGGTAGGATAAAAGAGAAAGCTGACTTACATCTCTGACTTTTAATATCTGGTTATATTTTGACATTTTTATAATATAGTCTAATATTTCTTTTCAGTTTATATCATACTAAATTACATGCAGATCAGTCTTTTTTAAATATTGGGAAAAGTTAATAGTACTTTTTAAAGGTAAAAAAATATGCAGTTTAGTCTATCATGAAGCAGAATTTTTGAGTATTCTAATGGCTTTTTAAAAATTCATTTATTTGCTAGGTAAGTTCTCTTCTACACTCTATGAGACTGGTGGCTGTGATATGTCACTTGTGAATTTTGAACCAGCAGCAAGAAGAGCATCTAATATCTGGTACGTGGGAAGACATATTAAGAATGTGTATGTATTTGCACATACTTGCCATGTTTAAAGATTTTAAGCCTTGAGATAAAAAGACTGGTTTAAAAAATTTTTTTGAATTGATAAAATGGTGTACATATGATGTACATATGATGTTTTAAAATCTTGGTACATTATGAAATGGCCAAATCTAGCTGACATATGCGTTATATCACATACCTATCTCTCTCTCTCTCTTTTTTTGTGGTGAGGACACTTCAGATCTTCTCCTAGTGATTGTTAAGTATACAAGTATATTTAATATTAACTATAATCATTATGTTAGATATAAAAGTTATTTTGAAAATATATTTGTATTACTTTAATAATTTGTCATAGTGCCTTGCTTTCCAAAGAATTAAGGTTGAAGGATTTTTGCTATGGAAGAAAGAAAGCATTATTTTAAAAATAAAAACTATTGGGCTGGGGTTGTGGCTCAGTGGTAGAGCATTTGCCTCTCATGTGTGAGGCACTGGGTTTAATTCTCAGCCCTGCCTATAAATAATTGAATAAAATAAAGGTCCATCAACAACTAAAAAAATATTTTAAAACCCTATTATATATTTAAAAATTAAAGCAAAATTTGCTGTAATTTATGTAAGACATCATTTTCCCACAGTTTCAAATTTAAGCATACAAATCATGTTCTCTATATGTTTCATGATGAAAAAAAGCTTATTAAAAAAATATTTACATTCCTAATTTTATACTCTTCAGTTGTCTTTTTTATGTAATTTTAGAATTTTATTTCCAAGTAAGAGTTTGGTCAAAAGCTTTTTAAAGTAACTAATTTTTATTTTGTATGTATGTATGTATGTATGTATGTATTTATTACTAGCTTTCGGGAGGAACTTCTTAAAATTTGTGTTATATGTTACACTTAGTTTCTTAGGAGGAAATTTGTAAAGTAATGAAGTAGTTAAAAGACAAGCAGATAAATTAGGAATCTGGATCGTATTACAATCAATTATAGTTTTAGAGTATATTAATATTCCATTTTCTAAAATTTTATTGTTTATCTGACTCAGATTTCTGCTTTGAAATCCATTATTGACTAATTAGTTCACTTTTCTTGCTAGAGTCATTAATTCCTATTTAGGACTTCCATTTAATGATGGGACACATTTATACATTATTCAGCTTTGGGCAATTTACTTATTTTTTGAGTTTTGAGGGGCCACTTAAAGCAGTTGGATCTTCTGATTGTTTCAATTCAGCATGTTGATTTAGTCCAGTTACAGAATTCATCCTGTCAAAATTGAACTGTTACATTCTATGCTATTTTATACTATAGCCTAAATTTACTTTGTTTTTAATGATTCCAGGAAATTTGTTAATTGCTTTCTTTGGATTATCTCATTTAAACACATTCACAAGAACCTTGTGATATGGGTGCCATTATCTTGTTACTGATGAGGAAACTTGAGGAATAGAGAGCTTAGCTAACTTGTTGGAGATTTCCCTCTCTGAAGAAGATATTTGAACTTAGACACTCTGCCCCAAACTCTTGTGCTCTTACTCACAACTCTAGGAAAATGCCATTTTGTATTTTGAAGTTTACATGGAAAAGAGAAGATAATGTAAATATCATCTAATTGTTTGGGAGTTTATTTTGTTTTTTACTATTTGACAAACTATTTATTCCCTAAAGTCTCTTTCATTTTATTTTAGTGACACGGATTCTCATGTATCCAGTTCTACCTCAGTTCGATTTTATCCACATGATGTGGTAGGTTTTTTTTTTTTTTTAATTTTATAACATCAGATATTTTATCCAAAAAATAGACTTAAATAGATACTATAAAAGTCAGAAATATTGATGAAGTCACAAATGTCAATTTTTTTTGAAAACTATGTCCAAAATCATCTTTACTGCCCCACAGAGAATCTCTTCAAATAAGTCCTTAGATAAAAAACAAACAGTACATCATAAAATTTAAAAGCATCCACATTTGTGAATCAGCAATTATCCATTTACTAATCAACATCATAGTATGATTGTGCCATCTGGCAACCTCACTTTAAATATGATTTGGTGTAGTTGTTTAACTGTTAGTTTAACTCTTAGGCACCCTGATAACAACTATGTGTGTGGAATGGTTAATAATGACCATTTTATATAAACTGTATTATGCCACATGAGATATAATGAGGAATTTTTTAAAGTAACACAGCTTTTGCCATCAAGATATATATGTGTGTGTATATATATATAAAGTTGGAAAAGACAATATGGATGAAGTACTTACAAATGCAACACATAAATAAACATACAGATGAATTTAGTGCCAAAGGGATTAATTTTTAATGTCTTCTTGAAGATAAACTGTGATCAAGGTTTTTAAGACTGTAGATGTAAATTAATATAGAACAGTGGTTTTCAACTAGTGACTATTTGGCAGTTTCTAGAAATATTTTTGCTTGTCACAGCTGGGTGAACACTCTTGGTGTCTAGTGGATAGGGGAGAGAGAGCCTGTGAAACATGTTGTGGTGGATGGCCCACTACACAGATAATCTTGACCCAAAATGTTTATAGTGCCAAGGTTGAAAAGCCCTGGCATAGATGATAAGTAAAATTTGGGGAAGTATCTTTGAATGTTTAGAGATAGAAATGACTGTTACATATGGAAAACAAGTTTTCTTCAGTATATGTGTTTGAAAAGCAAAGACTGTTTCTACTTTGTGTATTCCTGGAAACTCTACAAGAAAGCAATAATGAGAAGATGATCATATTATTGTTTTTCACTTTTAAATGTTTGGGGAACTTGAGATAGCAAAATGCTGCCTAGTGCTGTGCCAGAGACAGTAAAATTTAGTGCTTTCAGAGGAAGGGAAAAACTGGTAAACTGGTTGGTGAACAGATGAGCTAAAGCTAAAAGAAATGTAGTGTACCAATTTCCTGCATAGTCTTCTTTGAAAGTAGTAATAGTCATAATAAGAAGTCTGTAGGAAGATATGAGAGTTGAAGGGCTCAGATTTGCCTCTATCAATGAAGTTCATAGCTGAGAACGGCATAAATGTGACAGGGAGCAAAGAAGCCACTTATGATTCACCGCAAGTGCTTTTGATGGATTCATTGGTTAGACTTCATAAAATCTAGAGATTTCTACAACTTTTTAAAATAAAACCTTTCCAAAAGGTTGTTGATGATAAGGTTTTTTTTTTTGTTTTAGTTCACTTTCTATTGCTGCCTTGTGTGGTTTTCTAATGATCGTAAAGTTTTCACAGGGAGTGGACTAGAGTAGAAAATTAAGGAGCTGAGATAATCTACAACCTGAGTGAGTAACTTTCTAGTCATTATCAGATTAGATACTTTAAGCCTTTCAACACTGACTTTCTTTTAGCTTTCTCTCCCGCAGATTCGGTTGAATAGGCTGTTGACCATTGATACAGATTTGTTGGAGCAACAGGACATTGATCTGAGTCCTGACTTGGCAGCCACTTATGGTCCAACAGAAGAAGCTGCCCAAAAGGTTAAACACTATTACCGCTTTTGGATCCTGCCCCAGCTGTGGATTGGCATTAACTTTGATAGACTCACACTTTTGGCGCTGTTTGATAGGTGAGAATATAGTGTGATATTAAAGAGATGAAAAATTTTTATTTCTAAATTAAAGTGTTCTTAATGACCTGTTGAGTTTTTTTTTTTTTTTTTAACCTGATTATCATGCTGGAAAACGTTTTCTATTTTTGTTCTTTTGAGGTAAAACGTAAGGTAATAGAACTTTCAAACATTGAATCTCTTATGTCCATTGAAAACTTTCCTTTTAATTTTAATAGACTTCTGTAAAAATATATTTATTATTATCAGTAAGACTCATACAACTGATATTTAAACTGATAAGAACAGATACTACACTTGATCTTAGCCAAAAGGCCGAGAAGCGATACAACTGATATTTAAAAGACAGTTTGTGAAATGATGATTTTAAGGTTATAGGTAATATGATTCTATGTGTAAATGTTATAAGAGGAAGTTTATGTTTCTTACCACTACTGTCTTAGTGGTAAACACAATAGTCTGTTACAATTTGACATCTGCTTCTTCCAGTCAACATGAAGTAATAGGACTGGATTTACCCTCCCAGGTGAAACAAATGAAAACAGACAAAATACATGAAAAGTGGTCTTCAAGACATTAGAGATCAGACAGCAAAGGACATTGATCCTTTAGAGATAGGAAACAGATAATATGAACCTACAGTTTCCCCAGCTTAGTGCTTTAAGAGAGCTCCTAGGCTGTGACACAGGGAGTGGGAATTGAAAAGCATCAAGCAGTTTCCTGAGTTGAAGAGTTGGAGCTTAGGTCCAGGACCTGAAGGCAGTTGGAGTCTATAGGATAGCATATCAGAGAGAGCTGTTCAGAGAGATAAACCTCAGTTCTGTAGTGGGTGCTTTTGACTGTTCAGCAGAGTATTGATAAGTTGGAGAACCATTAGTTCAGGGAAAGCACTACTTTTGACTCACCTAACAAGTCATAAAAGCAAGACCTAAAGGGGGTCATGCTGTTTCTGAGTAGCAGAACAAATTAAGAAGATTAAAGTTAAGTTTTCACGTCTGACACCCAAAGATGACCTGGTTTGCAAAGAAGTAAGAAAAACATGACTTAAAATAAGGAGAATAATAAACCATTTGAGACCAGCCTGTTACTAGCACAGATATAAAGAATTAGCAGCAAGGACATTAAAATGTTGTAACTGTATTCTTTTTGTTAAAAACATTTGAGACATGGAAGATATAAAAAATAAGTCAAAAATTGTATTTACAGAGTAAAGTATTACAGTGAGATTTAAAAAATACACTAGATATGATTAATGGTAGGTTACAAATTGTAGAAGAAAAGATTAGTGAACTTGAAGCCATAGCAAATAGAAATTATCCTGAATGAAATATCCAAAAAGAATTCTCCCTATTCTAATCCCCCAATGAAAGAGCATACAAATAAAAATAGGAATAAGCTGTGGGAGAATTTCAAGAGGACACAAGGAGACAGAAAAGGTTTTGAGGAAATAATAGGTGTAAAATTTACCAATTTTGATGAAAACTGTAAATACAAATTTAAGAAGCTCAGTAGAACTCAGGTCATAAGAAGCATGAAGAAAACTATGTGAAGGCACATAATTGCTCAAAACCAATGATAAGATATTAAAAACTCTAAGAAAGAATATTCTTTGTATGAAGGAATGAGGATAAGGAAGACATCAGTTTTATTTTGGGGAGTAATGCAAGTGAGAAGACAGTGGAACAACATATTTAAAGCACTGAAATCAGGAAAAGAAGTCAACCTAGAAATTTATACCCAGCCAGAATATCTCTTAAATACCAAGGAAAAATAAAGACATTTCCAAAGTAGGAAGAATTGGGAGAATTTTTCATGAGTAGACCCACCCTACAAAAAACATTGAAAGGTACCTTGCAGGCAAGGGGAAAAGGATAGCATATGGAAATACAGGCTCATTCAGAGGAACTAAGATCACTGGACATGGTAAGTAACTACTTGGGAAAATAAGATTTTCTTTCTTAATGAGTTAAATCTCTTTAAGAGATAATTGTTTAAAAAGATAAATAACAATGAATTGTATGGTTATTATTATTCATGACAGTAATAGCATAAATGCTGGAAGGAAAAAATGGAAGTATACTACTTTAAGTTTCTTATGCAGTGTGTAAAGTGGTATATCATCACTTGAAGGTAGAATTTCATAAAGTATATATTAAAACTCTAAAGCAACTACTAAAATAATGAAAAGTTGTAATTAACATGTGAGAAAAATTTAAAATGTATTAATAAGACTAGTAAAAAACAAAAAGGGATCAAAGAACATATGGGTTAATTAAAAAATGATAAGGTGAAAGTCAAAAAGTAAAAAATTGTCAGATTGGATTAAAAAAGCAAGACTCAACTGTGATGCCTACAAGGAATATACTTTAAATATGAAAAGAAAAAAATAGGTTAAAAGTAAAAAAGAAAAAGATGCAGCATGCCAAAACTAACAAAAGAATGCTGAAGTGGCTGTAGTAATGTCAGAGTAGATTTTAGAGCAAAGAACATTGCCAAGGATAAAAAATGTGATTTCATGATGATAAGGGGACAATTAACCTGGAGGAATTAGCAATCTTGAATGTTTCTACACCTAAAATAGATTCTCAAAATACATAAGAGCTGGCACGATAGCTGAGTGATAAGTGTATGCTTAACATACAAAGCATCATGTTCAGTCCCTAGCCCCCCAAACAAACTGTAAGCAAAGTTCATAGAGCAGAAGCTGATAGAAATAGACAAACATGCAATTTTAGCTGATTTCAGCTCTTCTCTTTGAATAATTGGTAGAATAATATGTAAGAATCATTTAGTCAGCTTTCTGTTGCTGAGAGAAAATAGCTGAGTTAATCAGCTTATAAAGAGGAAAGATTTTGTTTTGGGTCTCGGTTTTAGAGGTTTCAGTTTATGATCACTTAACCCTTCATTTTTTAAGCCTGTGTCAAGGTTGAGCTTACAGTGAAGGAATCTGCTCACCTCATAGCAGCCAGAAAGCAGAAAGAGAAATAGGAAGGAGCTTTTGTCACAATATTCCCTTAAAGGAATATTCCTTCTACTAGGCTCCACCTCCCAAAAGCACCATAGGCTGAGGACCAAGCGTTCAACATAGCATCCTGAGAACATTCAGAATCCAGCCTATAGCAGTGAGGATATGGTAGACTTGAACAATATTATCAACCACCCTGAGTTGATTGACATTTATGCAACACCCCACCCATAATGAGAATCCATATTCTTTAAGTGCTCATGGAACATTACCAAAATAGACCATTTTCTGGGCCAAAATGCAAAGATCAATAAATGTTAAAAGAATTCAAATCATATAGTATGCTCTTTGACTACAATGAATTTACATTATAAATAAATAACAAAAAGGACTTTGGAAAATTCTCCTATACTTGGAAACTAGTACTTTTGAATAATCCATGGACTAGAGAAGAAATCAAATGGGAAATCAGGAAGTATTTTGTACTGCATGAAAATAAAAGTAATGTATCTCAATTTTGGTGATACCTTTAATGCCACACTTGAGAAAATTATAGTATTAAATACCAACATTGGAAAAGGAAGGTCTCAAATCAGTGACTTTGCTTTCTACTTGTATTGTAGGAAACTAAAAGAACAAAAGCACAATAGGCCCAAGTAAAGAGAGAGAAAAAATAGTAAGAGATGAAATAGTTCATAGAGGAAACAGAAAAACAATAGAACAAATGAAGCCAGCCTGACAAGAAAAAAAATGATACAAATTACCAATATTAGGAATGTGAAATATAACTACAGATCTGCAAGTATTAAAAGAATGATAAGAGAATATTATGAATAGCTGTGTGTAAATAAATTTGACAGTGGACACATGTATAATGGACAGATTTCTTTAAAGATATAAATTATTAAAGTTCAAAAATACATAATCTTAATGGTCTACTGTGTACTTAAATAAATGGAAATTGTAGTTAAAAACCTTCCTACAAAGAAACTTCCAGTCCAGGTGGTATCAAAGTAATATCCAAATCTATGAAGTGAAGAAAGGATAGTTTTTTCAACAAATGATGCTAGAACAATTGGATTGTCATATGCCCCCCCCCCCAAAAAAAAAACAAATAAAAGTAAGAAAAAATTGTATGCTAACCTTGTACCATATTATAAAAATTAATTTAAAATTGATCATAGACCTACGTGTTAAGCCTAAAACAATAAGAATTCTAGAACAAAACAAAGCAGGGGAAAATTTGGTTTAGATTTCTTACCAGTGACAACAAAAACAAGATCAGTAAAACAACAACAACAACAAAAAACTAAATGATAAATTGAATTCATCAATGTGGAAAAATATTTTAAATCCAAAGAAAAGCACATGTCCAATTTACAAGGAAGAGAGTATGCAGGGTGAGACAAGGATTGAAAAGGTCGTTGGATTGGGCAAATCTGGAGTTGCTTACTTGCCATCTCAGATCAAGTGAAAATGTCAAAAAATGATTGATTTGAAAATATTGTTGAACATTTTTAGCTTGGTAGAACTATTAAGTGAAGTAGTAGAGAGGTGTTTGTGAATTTTTTTATCCCAACTTATTTTAAACATAGCATTGAGTTAATAAAAAATTAATTAAAATTGCTCATGATTATGAAAGTAATTCTTCACCCCAAAGACAATTTTGTAGATAGAAATGGGCAAACCATAATCACTCCTCAGAGAGTGAACCATTGTTAGTAAGATCATTTTTGGTATTTTACCATTTTTAACCTATATTTGTGTTTTTTAATTACAGAACTTGTATCTTCCTATACATCTGGTTTTGTGTCCTACTTTCTTCATATAGCAAATGTGCTGAGCATATTTCCATGTCATTTAATGTTCTTTAAAGAATTGATTTAACATTTTGCAAATAAAATATCCCCAAGAAATAATGAGATAGATTTTTAGTTTTTTTTTTTTTTTTTTTTTGGTGTAGCATCAAAATCACCTTCATTGCTATTTGTTATATCTTGGGCATCATATTGTTTCTTTTACAGTGTCAGTTTGCTAAAGTATAGAATTGTCTGAGCAACTTTGATAGAGGCAGAATTGATGGTCTTTGTCACTACCTTCATTCTCAAGATACGTAAGAGCCTGTATTTAAGTAATTCTAGTAAGTGAGTTTTTGGATTATTTCAGATGACTGAGAGATGGGGAAAATGAAACCACTTGATATCAAAATTTGGTTACAAACTTTTGTCATATAAAATCACAGATATTTAAAATTTAATTTTCTAGAAATTATTTTGAGATTTTGCCTTTTAAACTTAACTTATTTCTTAGTTAAATCTGCTTTATTTGTCTTTCAAATTGGTTAGGTATCTTGCAACAAATTTGATGGAAAAGCAGATTTTAATTTTTTTTTTTTTTTTGCTGGTGCTGGTGATTGAACCCAATATTCAAATGCTCTACCTTTGAACTACGTCCCCAGCACCAGATGTTTTTTTAAAGTAAAGTTCTTTTAAATAGAACTTGAAATTTCAGTATGTGTTATAATTGGAACTCTATAATTCACTATAGCATGTTTTGGATATTAAATTTTGTGCTGTGTCCACATGAAACTAGTTTCTTTTTCAGTATGATGCAAAACTTTATTCAAACCCAGTACCCAAAAGACATCCCAGCAAGCTTCACTTTGATGTCTTCCCTTTTTTTTTTAGTATGGTTGATGATATACTTACTTATAAATTTTTCTGTCTACAGAAATCGTGAGATCCTGGAAAATGTGTTAGCTGTCATTCTGGCTATTCTTGTGGCTTTTTTGGGATCTATTCTTCTCATACAAGGCTTCTTCAGAGACATCTGGGTCTTCCAGTTCTGCCTGGTCATAGCCAGCTGTCAGTACTCGCTACTCAAGGTACCAGTATATTTTCTTTTCATGCTGTGAAATAATATTTGCATTAACAAAAAACAGACAGACTTCATACCATTCACCAAATTATAGTAAGATAATTTTTAGATTTATTTTCCTTGGATGTTTGCATTAAATTATGTAGGAAACAAAAGGGGAATATGGATGTAAAAATAATTACACATAAATTGAGTTTCCCAAAACTATTTCTTTGTAATTAAAAAAAAATTATTTTTAAAAAATATTTATTTTTTGGTTGTAGTTGGACACAATACCTTTATTTTGTTTATTTATTTATAAGTAGTGCTAAGGATTGAACTCAGGGCTTCGTACATGCTAGGCGAGCACTCTACCACTGAGCCACAATCCCAGCCCCCCTCACCCCCCAAAAAATTCTTAAAGTAAGAATTTGCCTTCTTGAGATTTACTTTTTAACTTTTCAACATAACTTTCTCTCTCTCTTTTTTTTTTTTGGTACCAGGGATTGAACTCAGGGTTCTCAACCACTGAGTCACATCCTCAGCCCTTTTTTGTATTTTATTTAGAAACAGGGATTCACTGAATTTCTTAGCACCTTGCTGTTTCTCTGGCTGGCTTTGAACTTGGGATCCTCCTGTCTCAGCCTCCCGAGTTGCTGGGGTCACAGGTGTGCACCACCGTGCCCGGCTCCCATCTTTTCAGTTTTTTATTCTGTGGGTGAAATTTTTTTAAATCTGGCATTGGTAGATATAATAATGTGAAAGCCTAGTACATATGTTTTTGTTCTTTTGGGACATCAAAAGGAGAAGATTGTTGTCACGTTGTTATTATTTTAATAGTGGTACAAAAATACCAAGATTTTATAAGCTTGTTAATTTTAAGCTTTTAAAAAAATGGGAGAATCACATACACCAGCTCATATACAATCAAAAATTTCTCCTTCCATTTAAAATAGTATGGACTTTTAATAGGGACTGTTTCTTTTCCTCAATTCCTTAGTAAATGCCCTTTTCTTTGCATTGGTCATTTATCTTATGTGTTCATATACAGAGCCCTCCCCCTCAACTGATAACTGTTGAGTTCTGTTTGTAGTATCAGCTGTCCTTTCTTTTTTCTCTCTCCATTTATAACTAGACATCTGGAGTAAGCACCTAGATAATCTGCTTCATTTCTTTAAGATCCACCCATACTTCTTTTATCATTGCAGTACTAAAACTGCAGTCTATGTGGTTGCTAATAATTATTCCAATTGTTAAATTTATGTCCTTTTCTCAGCCCACTCTCTGTGGGTGCTGTATCATTTAACACTCGTTGATACTGCCTTCCATTTTCATGTCCTTTTCTCTGTTGCTCATTTCCAATGGTTCTTATGTGCTCCAGTGACTCCCCTTGCCTTTGTTGGTGCCTCTTTGTTCCTTCAACCACTTTAATTTATGGGAATTCTCTTGGATTTTATTTGATCCTCTTTGCAGTTAATAGTTTTTACTTGTGAAGTCAATTCTCTTTTATAATTTTATTTGTTGCCTCCTTATGTGAGTTATATCCAGATTGATGTCTGCACCTATTTCACAAGCTTATCTAATAGACAGTTGGACACATGTCAAAAATAGCACATTATCATCTTTTGATTAATATGTTCCTTTCTAAGTTTCTTAGCTTTTGACAGTGGTATACCAACTTAGAATCTTAGAACCTCTCTGCTCCTTCCTCCTTAATCCCTGGAAAACAAGTAACTGAATCCACTTGATTAAATTTGGTTATTCTATATTAAAATCATTGGTCTTTGTTCTTTCCTTTTATTTCAGCCACCTTAATCTATCTCTTTATTGCCTTAACCCATTAAATTCATTCAAATTTAAAAACTCTTGTCCTTTGCTTTCAGGTTAATCTGGTTAAATAGGCAAAAGGTAAAAGGTGACAGAGTTTTTTTTTTTTTTTTTAACTAGCTGACTAGAAGAATGACATAAGAGAAATTAGAAAGGAGGAAACAAAAGTTTTGAAAGGATAGATGTTAAAGTTGAAAGTACTGAAAGATTACCTGATGAGAGACAGAGAGAGAGAGAGAGAGAGAGAGAGAGAGAGAGAGAGATATCCTGGAATTATAGGATGGTGAGAAAGACCATCCTGGTGGAATTTTTTGGTATGCCTTTGGAAATGAACTGAAATGTGGAAGAAAAGTTACATGTTTTGTTACTAAATTTTTTAAACATACTATTTTAAAAAATAATTATTTGTTTATTTGTTTCTCTGATGCTGAGGATCAGACCCAGTGCCTCATGCATGCTAGGCAAGCACTCTACCACTGAGGTACAACCCCAGCCCTAGAACATTTTTAACAGAAAATCTTCTAAAAAGATACAGCTGAACTTCTTTGATTATTTTAATGTGAAAAGTTTCAGTTTTTTTTTCATTTTATTAAATCATTTTATTTATTTATTTATTTATTTATTTTCTTTCTGGTGCTAGATATCAAACCCAGAGCCTTGAGCATGCTAGGTAAGCACTCTCCCACTGAGCTGCATCCCCAGTCTTGGTTATTTTAATTGTAAATGCAAATATGTAATACAGGTACTAATGAATTATCTAGTAAACTTAGAGTTTGTGGATAGAACTTGAATTTCTGTAAGCTACCCCATGTTACTGTGTACTTTCTGAAATGGGAGGTACTGTCCCATGAGAAAGAATTCTACCATAACTATGCTTATGTGTAATAATGAGCTAAACAATAAGATAGGCTATCAAATGTCATTTCAAAAATTACGCTAGGTCTGGGTTTGTGGCTCAGTGACAGAGTGCTTGCCTCACACGTGTGACGCACTGGGTTTGATCCTTAGCACCATATAAAAATAAACAAAGATATTGTATCCATGTATAACTAAAAAAATATTTTTTTAAAAAACCTATTAAGGTAGATAGATGCAACTTGTTAATTTACCAGAATAAGTGAAAGTTGGGAAAAATGTGAGATGTTTTTAATATCCCTGTAACACCAGTATCTGGAGCTGATGTTTCATCTTTGGAACAGAATTAATGGAGGTCATCTCTTTATTGTAGAATGTTTACTTGAAATCACTTCAGGCATTTTGAAAGTTGCTTGTATAATCACCAGGACTGTAGTAGTAGTGTAATCTGTCTTTCTGTTTCATTTCCAGAGTGTTCAACCAGATTCTTCTTCGCCCAGGCATGTAAGTCACTCTTAAAATGGCTGTAATTCATTGTTCTTTAATAGTTATCAAAACCCCCTTCCCCTTTTTTTCCTTTTGGCATGTGTTGAATTGGATTGAGATTTATATTACTATTTTCTCATCTTAAGATTTGACAGATTATAGGTAATTTATTAGCATGAAATAAAATGACATTGTACTGGTGGACTCTAAATCTTGGTTAAAACAAGCATAGCAATTCATTTTTGATAAAAGCCTCTTAGTAAGAGGTTATCAGTTAGACATGATTCATATAAACTCATGATTATTTGCATTTAATAAATTTTGAATAATAAATTGTGAATTAATACTGAAAAATAGATTTTTGAAGTGGGAAAAACTATGTTATTTTGCTCTGATAATCACTAGGAATTGCAATAAAGAAGTGCAATACATTAGTTTGGTGTTAATACTTTTGGACTACATAATGAGAAGAAAACCTTATTACTTCTGTGACTTTACACAAAAATGTAATCTGCTTGGCACTGTTTTTATGACATGTGATCCTGTTTTAGATCTAACTTGAGCATTTATTTAGTGGTAAGACCAAAAGACATCTCTTTAATGTAATTCAGGAATAAGTTCCAACAACAGATTATGGTGATGCTTTCTTTCATGAATGTGATTGTTTTAAATCCTTGCTCACTAGATGCTAGTAACTGCCACCCCCCCTCCCCACCACCTAGTTGTGATAATAAAAATATATCCAGATTGGCAAATATCCTCTGGAAAGCAAAATCTTCTCCCACTTCCTTCAGAACTACTCCTCTACTGTAATATCACTGTTTTTCTCTTGTGATTCATAAGTATCTTATTGGGAGACACTCTGAGACTATGTATCTGTTCTACTCATTTGTTTCACTTAGTATTACTGATGTTTCTTGCCTGACTCAGTTATCATTTGATGACTGGCAAATAGTGATTTTCTAATTCTATCATTCCTTCTGCATTCATTAGTTTACTCTTTATTGAAACAAATAGCTCTTCATTCTGTCATTATGTATGTATTAGTGTGGATTCATAGATTATTTTTGTTTAGTGGATTATAATGTCACTTTAATACTTATTTTGATGCTCAAACTGTTCCTGATTCAGCCACTTGGAGCCCATCAAGCTGCCTTTTGTGTCCTTTTGACATATCCCTGTCATTCTTTAAATGTTTCCCTCCTTTTTCTAACAACAATTTTTTCTAGATTGATCATATACTTTTCCTACCTAACTCATAACCAGTCTTTTCTTTATGAAGCTTCGATTCTTTTTCATGAAAAATGGTGTTGGTGAACTAAGGTCTAGATGCTACTTATATCTCTTATATTGTCATTGCTTCTAGATCCTCTCAGTGGATAAAGATATGAAATACGTGTGTGTGCGTATACACATATTTATATGCATATTAAAATAATTAGTTCATTTTGATATTTCTACTTTCAATCCAGTATCACAGTGTTCATTCTATTCTTCCTCCTTTCTGAATCTGTTATTCCTTTCTTTGATCATCAGAAACCTGGCTTTCATGTAGAAATATTTTGAGTCCTTAGAATATAAGCAATCAATGATCTCAGTAACTAGTGTTGACTCTTAAAATTAACTAAACTGACTTTTTAAAAATATGTCATTTGCAGGGTCATAATCGTATCATTGCTTACAGTAGACCAGTTTACTTCTGTTTATGTTGTGGTCTAATTTGGTTCTTGGATTATGGTAGCAGAAACCTTACTACAACCAAGTTCAAATTATATGGAATAACATTCACCAATCCACTGGTATTTGTATCAGCCAGGGATTTAGTTATAGGTAAGTCAGCTTTAAAGTACGTCTCATCTTAACATTACTTTATTTGTTTTCAAACAGTTCACTGATAAATAAATCAATTATATAGGTCAAATAGCTTTAATAAACTTATTTTGCTGTTTATTATAATCATCTCTGAGGAAAAAAACTGTGTAACTGTTATGAGTAAGGAAACTTCTTGAACACAACACAAGGGAAAGTTGTGGGTTTTAAAAAATCTGTATTTTAGGTTCTTATTATGTGAAAATGGTTGAAATAATTTATTGGTTCTTTTAAATTATACATGACATTAAGATTCATTTTGACATAATTATAAAAGCATGGAATATAACTTGCTCTAATTCAGTCCCCAGTACTTCCCCTTTTCTCTTCCCACCTTCCTCCCCTGTTCCCTTCCTTTTACTCCACTGATCTTTCAATGCTATTTACTTATTTTTTTTAATTGTTTTCTTGTGAACATACATGATGGTGAGATTCACTGTGGTATATTCATAAATGTATATAGGAAAGTTAGGTCAGATTCATTCTACTGTTCTTTCTTCCCCCATTCCCTCAATACCAGTTGAAGTAATTTTAAAAGATATTGCTTATAGGTGAAAGATTTTATTTAATACCCAGTTATGTAGAGATAAATAAATTTAAATATCTTTTTTTAAAAATATTTTTTAGTTGTAGGTGGACATTTTATTTATGTATATGTGGTGCTGAGGATTGAACCCAGGGCCTCTCATGCACTAGGCGAGTGCTCTACACTGAGCCACAACCCCAGCCCTAAATGATATCTTTTAAAAAAATTGCTAGTAGTTTATGTTAATGTTGGACTTCTTTGCATTGCTTGTGGTCTTTAAGTGAATAAAAGGATGAATACAGTATATTTTTAATATACTATTCTTTCTTTCCATAGTGTTTACACTCTGTTTCCCAATAGTGTTTTTCATTGGCCTTCTGCCTCAGGTGAATACATTTGTAATGTACCTTTGTGAACAATTGGATATTCATATTTTTGGTGGTAATGGTGAGTACTCTTTATAAAAATTGTAGATTGCAGTATTTAAGCATAGCTTAACAAATAGGGGACAGTTACAGCCTTTAGAACTGTTATTGGTGTTAAATTTATTTAAATACTATGATATGGACTTAGTATATAGGTGGTTTATAAAAGGAGTTTTGTCATGATTTACAAACTTGCAACAAGGTATTAGACTTTAATATCTCATAAAGAAAGTTTTTTCTGTAAATTTTCTTTTATGATCACAATATAAGAGTACAGTAAAAAAATCTATGTATTTTTAAAATAAATCCTAGCTATCTTAATCATTCATTCTTCCTTATAACTAGTAATTCCATTGGATCTATTTGTTGTTATTGTTAGTAGTCAGATCTGCACTTTTTTGTGTGAGAATTAATCAATACACAGGAATATAGATTTACTTCTGTGGGTACCGAGTTCTTTTTACATAGACTGATATCATTCAGTGATTAATTCATACATCTCCAGTTTGTTTTCAGGCTTCTGCATAACTTATGTTCCAGACTTTCTGGATCTAAGCCACATTCTTGAAGTATAATATAGATTTAACTTTTTCTGCTCTGCTTAATTGTTCATTACTCCTGAGATAAATATACTTTACCTTGCATTAGAGATTTGAGAATAGTAAAGCTTTGTCAGGTCAAAATCTTTTGAAAGAACAGAATGAAGTAACAATTTTTAAAAGTCAAATGAGTAGATAATAATATACTAGTATTATAGGACATTTTAATAGTTTAAATGCTTTTTGGTGACTTTTAAAGTTTTTTCCATAGATGTTTATAAAGTATTGATTTCTTTTTTCTTTATTCTCTAGCTACTACAAGCCTGCTTGCAGCACTTTACAGTTTTATCTGTAGCATTGTGGCAGTAGCCTTATTGTATGGATTATGTTACGGAGCTTTAAAGGTGAGCAATAAATTATAGTTCTTTTTTTTTTTTTAAAGTTTATTTTTTAGTTATAGGTAGACACAATATCTATATTATTTTTATGTGGTTTTGAGGATCAAACCCAGTGCCTCATGCATGCTAGGCGAGCACTCTACCTCTGAGCTACAACCCCAGCCCAAGGTTATATTTCTTTATGAAGATTGTTTTAAATTGACTAAAAATGTTTTTCCCCCTGGTGCCAATTTATCATTAATTTCCATTGTGTTCATGTGCTAAATGTTATTCTTTTTAAAAATTTTTTTGTTTGTTCTTTTTAGATATACATGACAGCACAGTGTATTTTGACATCTTATATGCACATGGAGTATAACTTATTCTAGTTAGGATCTCATTCTTGTGGTTGTACATGATGTGGAGTTTCACTGGTGTTATATTCATATGTGAATATAGGAAAGTTATGTCCAATTCATTCTATTGCCTTTCATAGCACTATCCCTACCCCTTTCCCTTCATTCCCCTTTGTCTAATCCACTGAACTTCTATTCTTCCCCTCCCAACTTGTTCTGCGTTAACATCCCCATATCAGAGAGAACATTCAACCTTTGGTTTTGGGGGATTGGCTTATTTCACGTTATTCTTATTTTCATTTTCTTTGAATTTGAAAGAAATTTAATAGATTATTAAAAGAATTTCTTTTCTGTATTAACCATGGGTTAGTATTAGAAATGGATTATCAAAAACCAGGCTCATCTGGGATGGGGTGAGCATGGTAATCACAGAATATGCTATATATTTAGTTATGAAGTTATATAACTACTATTTTTTATATTAAGGTTTCTTTAAAGTTGTAAGAATAAGTTCAAGGACTACAATTTAAGGTACATGCTAGTAAAAATTAATTTGCTAGAATTTAATGCCATTTTAGGGTAAGCATCTGAATGAGCCTATGAGCTCTCTTTAAAAATACTGTCACCAAGGGCTGGAGATGTAGCTCAGTGGTAGAGCACTTGCTGAGTATACATGAAACCTTGAGTGTGATGCCTATTACCACATGCTCTAAAGTCACCAAATTGTCTTGTTTTAACTAATACACAATTTTGTTTATTTTCAGTATTTTTATTGGTACATTATAGTTTTACATAATGGGGTTTATTGTTGCATGTTTGTGCATGCACACAATATAACAAAATAATTTAGTCAATATCATTCCCTGGTATTTTCCCTCCCCGTTTTCTCCTCCCTTCCCCTTTCCTCTATTTATCTCCCTTTGAAGATCAAACCCATCTTTCTTTTCCTATTTCCTCTCTAACTTACATTTAAGAGAGCAAACTTATGAACCTGTGTCACCAAATTGTAAGCATGAAAATCTTAAGGTTTTTTTTTTATATATTTATTTTTTAGTTGTAGTTGGATACAATACCTTTATTTGTTTACTTATTTTTATGTGGTGCTGAGAATCGAACCCAGGGCCTTGCATGTGCTAGGCGAGTGCTATACCGCTGAGCCACAACCCTGCCCCCCCTTTTTTTTAATAGAGATTTACAGTCCCTTACATATAATTTCTGAGATTTGTTTGTTTTTTGTGGTTAATGCAAGGCAATTAGAGAATGGTTAGGGTTGAAATAATTATGAAGAATGACTCACAGCATTTTTCTTTGCTTCATTTATTCTGTAGTGTTTATGGGTCACTTACTGTGTGTCAAGAACATGCAAAAAGCCATTTCCTGCTGGTTTTGTGGGGTTTTTTTTGCTTGTTAGTTTGTTTGTTTTTGGTCTTCTTTTGGTAGTGCTGAGGATCAAATGCACAGCACATACATTCTAGGCAAGCAAGTGTTCTACCACTGAGCCACATCCCCAGGTCCATTTCTCACTTCCAAGGAATTTATATGTTAGGTGGGATTACTAAGTCAAGGAACATATTTAGTATAGGGTAACAAAGGCTATGAAAACAGAATGCTGTGGTTATATAAATTGACATTAAAAGGGAATAAAGTCCATTTTCTAGGAGGATGATTTTAACCAAATTTTGAAGGACAAGTAAGAATTAGCTAGTTGAAACAGAGAATACAGAGCCATGAATTTGGGAAAAAAGTGTTGTAAAGGAAAACAGCAACTAATTTTGGAGTTGCTAGAATTTGGGTACATGAGGAAAGATGGTCTTCATTAAGGCTAAAAAGGTAATCAAGGACTAAATTATGAAATACCCTGTATTCTGAATGTGTTGGTCTAAAGATGGGAGATTATCAGTGTATTTGAGATAGGACAGGAAATGATTAGAGTTGCATTTTACAAAGATTACTCTTTCTCATACATCTGTTTACTTTATTATTCTACAGATTCTCTTTCCTGCATACATCTTGTTTTCTCCTCATACATCTTGTTTTCTCCTTTGCTTTCTGATGTATTAATCTTTCATTCTTGAACTCATGCAAATTTGCATGGTTTTTAACTTCTCAGCACATTCAAATGTGTCAGAAGTTCAGTTTATGGTTCCACCACTTCACTGGACAGTTGAAACACTGAATGCCTTAGCTTCCTTATCCATAAATTGGGAGTAATAGTGTGTGTTTCCAAAGGTTACTGTTAAAATTATTTAGGAAATATTTACAAATACCTAGGAATGGGGCTGTACATATACTATTTAATATGATGATGATAAGGTTTTGATTTAGCCATTACCAAAATGTCTATGTTGTGATTAGAATAATTTCCAAGAGTATTTGGGCATGGGGAGGCAAGTTGAGTAAAAAACTACCGTACTCCTATCATTTTCCATTCTGAAATTCCCTGAGAAAGACAAAGGATTAGAATGTTATCCATCACATAGAACATACCTGTGAACTATTCCTGTTACCAGGGTTGTCCACTCCATGCCATATATCATGCTAGTATTATCCAGAGATAACTTCAGTGCCACAGGGCTAACATGACACCTGCCTGTGTTTGGTTGTCCTTGAAAGCTTATCCTTTCTATTATTTCCTTGTGGGAATATGCATTCATTCTATCAGGTAATAGTTACTGAATGTTGCTCAGTGCTCTGGAAATTATAATAGTATGGTATATATTACATGAGTAAAATGGTTGTACTGTGTAAGTAGCATGTAAGACACCAAGATATTCTTTGGCCTAATGTGTTCTATCGTGATACCTGGTCCTCCTACTCCATTGTTATATATAATGAATTTACCAAGTTATTTTATTCTTCAAAAAAAGAACACATAATTTACTATACATGCTATTTAAAATATTAACCAATGGTAGTAGCAAGCATCAAAAGCAAAATTTTCCCAGTAAATGAATAGAGCTTTAATAACAAAAGAAATCTGGCTCATATCTGGCAGTGAGAGTGGGGAGGAGCCATTGCCCTCCCTGCAGCCTTTGAGGTACGCCCTGAGCCTGCCCCAGGCTGCTGGCTGCCATAGGCCCACAGCGCCAGGCCAGCGGCAGCGGGAGTGAACCAGAGCCACCCAGCCGCAATGTCACTGTTGTTCAGCTGGGTGGCCAAGGTGCCCGAGATCTTCAGTTCCATACCCATCCGCCAGGCTAGGAAGATCCCCCGCCAGGAGGAACTGCAGATCGCCCACCAGGAGGAGCTGCACTGCCTCTGGGAGTTTGACAACACATTTGCCAAGAAGTTCATGGTGCTCTTTTGTGATAGCTCACAAGAAGGCCCCGCCAGAGCTAATTGACGAATGCATTGAGAAGTTCAACCACGTTAGCTGCAGCCAGCTGGCTGACTGGAACCGGGCACCAGAACCCCGCTGGCCCATGCGCAAGTCCTTCTCCCAGCCCGGCCTGTGTTCACTGGCCTCAGGAAGGAGTTTCAGGATGCTGGCCTCCGAAGCAGCAGTTTCTTCAGTTCTTTTGAAGAAAATGACATTGAGAACCACCTAATTAGTGGATACAATATTGTGCAGCCAATAAATATTGAGGGAAATCGAACTATGCTCTTCATGATTGCCCAGTCTGAAGTTTACTTCCTCAGTCCTGACAACAAAAAAAATAGCACTGGAAAAAAAATTTAAGGAGATATCCTTTTGCTCTCAGGGCATTAGACATGTGGACCACTTTGGGTTTGTCTGCTGGGAGTCTTCGGGAGGTGGTGGCTTCCATTTTGTCTGTTATGTGTTCCAGTGTACAAATGAAGCTCTGGTTGATGAAATCATGATGACCCTGCAACAGGCTTTCACAGTGGCTGCAGTGCAGCAGACTGCAAAAGCTCCAGCCCAGCTGTGTGAGGGCTGCCCCTTGCAGGCCCTGTACAAGCTCTGTGAGAGGATAGAGGGAATGAATTCTTCCAAATCCAAACTAGAACTCCAAAAACACCTGACAACATTAACTAATCAGGAACAGGCAACTATTTTTGAGGAGCTTCAGAAATTGAGATCAAGGAGTGAGCAGCAAGAAAATGAATCGATCATTTCTTTTCTGAGATATTTGTATGAAAAGAAGCAGAAAGAACACATCCACGTCAGGGAGATGAAGCAGGCATCATAGATTGCCGCAGAAAATATTTGAAGTGAATTGCCAGCCAGTGCCACTCCATTTAGGCTAGATATGCTGAAAAATAAAGCAGAGAGATCTTTAACAGAGTCTTTAGAAAGTATTTTGTCTCAGGGTAATAAGATCAAAGGCCTGCAGGAAAACTCTACCAGCGTGGATCTGGACACCTCTGTGTCTAGCACATTAAGTAACATCAGCAAAGAGCCGTCAGTGGGTGATAAGGAGGCCTTGCCCATCTCTGAGAGTTCTTTCAAGCTCCTTGGCTCTTTCAACGACCTGTCCAGTGATTTAGAGGGCCATTTCGCAGAAAAGCCTCCTTCGCTTTCCCCCCAGCAGACCTTCAGGAGGCGAGCAAACACCCTGAGTCATTTACCGGTGGGATGCCTAGAACTTCCAGAGTCCACTCAGGGGTCTCCAGGTGTCTTTCAGAGAAAACTTATGAGGTTATCACTCAGTGAGCACAGAGATGCCTCACGAATGAAAGGACCTTGAATCCAAAGCAAACCACATCGGTGACTCTGGTGGGACCCCAGTGAAGACCCAGCGGCACTCATGGAGGCAGCAGATATTCCTGCGTGTGGCCACCCCACAGAAGGCATGCATCTCCCCTGACAGATATGAGGATTATTCAGAGCTGGGAGAGGTCTCCTTTAGAACCAGTATGTAAAGATGGACCCTTTGGCCCTGTACCAGAGGAAAAGAAGAGGATATCACGGGAGCTTCATGAGCTGTGGAAAAGGCTATTCTGCGACAGGTACTGCTCCTCAGAATGGAGAAGGAAAATCAGAAGCTACAAGCCTCACTGAGAATGACTTGCTGAACAAACGCCTGAAGCTCGATTATGAAGAAATCATTCCTTGTCTTAAAGAAGTAACTACAGTATGGGAAAAGATGCTTAGCACTCCAGGAAGATCAAAAATTAAGTTTGATATGGAAAATATGCACTTAGCGGTTGGACAAGGTGTGCCTTGTCATCATCAGGGTGAAATCTGGAAATTTCTAGCAAAGCAGTTCCACCTTAAACATCCGTTTCCCAGTAAACAGCAGCCAAAGGATGTACCCTACAAAGAGCTCCTAAAGCAGCTAACCTCCCAGCAGCACGCCATTCTTATTGACCTCGGGCAAACCTTTCCAACACATCTGTACTTCTCTGCCCAGCTCGGAGCAGGGCAACTGTCACTTTACAACATTTTGAAGGCCTACTCACTTCTAGACCAGGAAGTAGGTCTAGCCTCAGCTAGACCTCAGCTTTGTGGCAGGCATTTTGCTGCTTCATGTGAGTGAGGAAGAGGCGTTTAAAATGCTCAAGTTTTTGATGTTTGACATGGGACTGCAGAAGCAATATCTGCCAGACATGATAATTTTACAGATCCAGATGTACCAGCTCTCGTGGCTTCTCCATGACTACCACAGAGACCTCTATGATCACCTAGAGGAGCACAAGATCGGCCCCAGTCTCTGTGCTGCACCCTGGTTCCTCACCGTGTTCGCTTCTCAGTTCCCACTGGGCTTTGTAGCCAGATTCTTTGATATGATCTTTCTTCAAGGGTCAGAGGTCATATTTAAAGTGGCTCTAAGTCTTTTGGGAAGCCATAAGCCCTTGATTCTGCAGCACAAAAACTTAGAAACCATAGTGGACTTTATCAAAAACACACTACCTAACTTGGGGTTGGTACAAATGGAGAAGACCATCAATCAGGTGTTTAAGATAGACACCGATAAACAGTTATAGGCTTATGAAGTTGATTACCATGTACTTCAAGAAGAACTTATTGATTCCTCTTCTCTCAGTGACAACCAAAGAATGGATAAATTAGAGAAAACCAACAACAGCTTACGCAAACAGAACTTTGACCTCCTTGAGCAATTGCAGGTGGCAAATGGTAGGATCCAGAGCTTTGAAGCAGAGTAGAGAAGCTCCTGATTAGTGAGAGCAAGCTGAAGCAGGCCATGTTGGCGCTGGAGCTGGAGAGATCCGCCCTGCTTCAGATGGTGGAGGAGCCGCAGAGGCAGCCTACAGAGCCAGGCACTAGGGAGCCAGAGCCAGACTGCACCCAGCCTGAGGTCTCGGGGGACTAATGGTTCTGGAGAAATTGTACACTATTTCAACACTGTCCAGGCCTTAACTAGGAGAGTCAGAAGATGCTAGAGGGAGAAAACAAAGCGTGAAGCAAACGTCTCAGGGAGGAAACTGGCTTGCCAACATGCAGATTCTTTTGAGTTCAAACTTGCAATTCAGAGGGCTCATGTCACAGTTTTTTTATTGTTTCAGGTTGTGATTCGTCTCTTCTCCAGCTTGATTATTGTACTCAGTAACTTTAGATGGCATGGACGGGAATAAATGGACCTTTTCTTTTCCTGGTTATTTCCTCTTTGAGTAGCACTGTGTTGTAAAGAGCATTTGTAATACTGGGTTCCAGAAGCGGGAGTGGGTCAAAGATGATCCCTCAGGCAAAGTGTGGGTCTGTCATTCAAGAGAGGGTTTGCGTGACCACACCCTCTGTCACCAGTGAGGTACAGTTGGCCCTTGTCTATTCTTATTATGAAAACCTAAGATGACCCTGGGGAAGATCTGAAATTGATTTATTTAAATTGGACATCTTGATCACTTTTAAGTAAACCTGGCTACTATCCTTGGTATTTAAAAGGAAGTTTGTCTTTTTAAAATAGTTGAGTATTTCCATACAAATTTGCTGGTCTTTTAAGTGTAGTTGATCAAAGTCATGGTAGATAATATTTTAAGGGAAATCACCAGTGTTTAGACTCCAACTGTGTGGCTGGCATGTAGCCTGCAGTTGGGCAGCCTGAGGTGTTTGCTTCTTCATGGAGGTTGCATTTCATACTATGGAGTCATGTATTTATCCTTTCCTATTGTATGATGTACTGCAGCCACGTGTTCTTTTGAGTCAACGTCTTTTTGAACTCTTTTGAGTTCTTTTCACCCCTTGGATATCTAGTTCCTTGTAGGAGCAGGGCACATCGAGATTTTTAGGGATGTCCAAGATTATGGGACTTTTAAAAAGAGATCAGTCTGAACTTGCAATCAGATATATGGCAGCTGACAGTTTTCCAGAGGTAGAACATGTGTTTTGAACAGAATTCACAACCCAACAGCAACTCCCTCCCTCAGGATGATGAGGACTTATGTCTTCTAGCAAAATGCTGTTCATAGTTGCCCTGATTTTAGTTGGTCACTGTGTAAGGCCCCTTCCCTGTGATCTCAGAATGGGTTATTTTCTTACAAAGAATTAGAGAAGAACTGTGCAGGCACAGCTTACTTCCCTGACAGCAGAATCATTTCTGGTCTTATGTTTCTTGGGAGTTTCTTTTGACTCTTGTGGTGGTAGGGTCTCTTTTAAGTCCTGGATGAAAGGAGGGATTGCTATAGTTGGAGTCATTTGAATCTCCTGGCCATTTCAAAGGGAGACCAAAATGCTGTCCCCTGTGCCTGAATGGTTGGTTGGCATTTGAGAGTCCTTCCTGTTCCTCTGGGTCAGAGAATAGTGGATGTCATGTTCCTTTGAGTCATGGTTTACCAAGATGACACAGTAAAGTCTAGAAGCTGCTATCCCAGTGGTTCTACTGGATAGCTTGGAGGAATGAGAGCTTCTTTCCACATCATATTTTACTATTTGAATGTTTCATAATGTTGAATTTTGGACATCTTACTACCCTTATTAAAAAATATTAACTCTGCATTAAGTAAGAAATAAGAAAGCAGTAAAACAATAAATAATCTAAAAAAAAAGAAATCTGGAACTTTATTACTGAGAGAAATCTAGCAGCTAGATTCTAGCTCATGAGAAAGTAACAAATCTAAATTTATTTGGAATAAAATGCAACTAATAATATGACCAAAACATTTTTAAAATTTAAATTCATTGATTCTTTCCAAAATACTGACATAAAAAGATTCTATTATAAATTAGAAGTTTATTGTTCTGTTACATTTTTTTCTCAACAGGATTCATGGGATGGTCAACATATTCCAGTACTTTTCTCCATTTTTTGTGGCTTATTAGTGGCTGTATCCTATCATCTCAGCCGACAAAGCAGTGATCCATCTGTACTTTTGTAAGTGAAATCAATTGTTATTGTTAGAGAAATTTAAATAAGTTAACATTTCTTTTAAAGAACTCCCAAGACCTCTTTTCCCAATGCTTTTCCAAAGTGCTGGTGGCCTAGTCTATCTATAATCCCTATTCAAAATATATTAACATTGGGTCAATTCTAACCATCTTTGCTGAAAATGTTAGGTTTTTTTCCCTCCCAAGTATTAAAACTGTTTTAGTAAAAAGATTTTTACTGTATTGCTGTTTATGATATCTTTGACTTTTTAGGATTTTCTGTTTCCTTTTGATTAAATATACTTGGGTCACTTGGTTTTCTGTCATAAACTATCATTTGCATTACTTTTTTTCAGGTTATATATGTATTTTCTATTAATTATTTTCTCTTGATTTTTAAAAATGTAAAGCTCTTTGGTACAATCCAAGATTTTTCCAAAAACAGAAGAAAAAAATCCGGAAGACCCTCTGTCTGAAGTAAAAGACCCACTGCCTGAGAAACTTAGGAATTCTGTTGTAAGTTTCAGCTGTTTAATTCAACTATAAGTCTTAAATGTTAGACAGTTGATTTTATTGTATAATGAATACTTTTGAAAGTCTTTAGTAATTGGAAGAAAATATATAGTCCCATTGAGTGGGGTTAGTTGTACATTGTTGATTACCTTTACTCCAATTTTTAACATGCAAGTTGAACATCCTTAATTCAAAAAACCCCAAATGCTCTAAAATTCAAAACGTTTGAGTGCCAGCATTATGCCACAGTGAAAAATACCAATCCTGACCACAAGGGATCAGTCACAGTTAAAATGTAGGTAAACTAAAAATAGTATTTAAAATTACCTTTAGGCCATCCTTCATATGAAACATAAATGAATTTTGGATCCCATCCTTAAGATATCTCATTAGGTAAATGCAAATATTCCAAAATAAGAAAAAATCCAAAACACTTCTGAACCTACTCATTTTGTCTAGGGGATAACCAACCTTCATAAGAAATATTCATTCCTCAAACTTCGTTTCTATGTAGAATAATATGGCATTTATTCATTTATTCATTTCCAGGTAAGGGAAAATGAAGTAATTTTATTGGTCATAGAATTTTTTTTCATCCTGTTTACACTAGACTAGACTAGACTCTGAAAGATGAATAAAATACTCCTTCTTTGTCCTTACTCATTGTCAAATGCAATCCAAAAATATTACATGGAAAAGTCCAGAAATAAATAATAGATAACTTTTAAATTGCATGCCATTCTGATTTGCATGATGAAATATTGCACCGTCTCAGTTGAGACAACTTCCCTCTGTCTAGTATGTCTATGTATATCTGCTACCTGCCTGTTAGTCACTTAGTAGCCATCATGGTTAGCAATATAGTATATAGGGTTAGATATTGCCTGTGATTTCAGGTATCCAGATAAGGGGGAAGTACTGTGTTAATGTAAATTAGATTCATTGTGTTTTTATTATTGATTAAAAACTATGGACAGGCATATATCTCTAATTCCAGTGGCTTAGGCAGGAGGACAACAAGTTCAAGGCCAGCCTTGACAAATTAACCCATTTTAAAATTAAATTTTAGAAAAGAACTAGGGATGTGGCTCAGTGGTAAAGCATCTCTGGGTTCAATCTCCAGTACCACACACACAAAAATAACTATGTCCTTGTAAGTGTCTTGCTAGTCCTCTAGGGCGTTTTATTTACCAAGGGCAATTTGAAAAGTTTGTGCATTTTCCATGTTAAAGGAGAGAACAATAGCCAAATCTATCTTAATATACTTAAGTAAATTCAGTAATTCTCTTATGTTTCTAATTTAGTAAATTATAATATTGTTTATTTTCTTTGAGTAATTATTTGAAGATGAATTCTATAGATTCATATCTGTTTTATGGAACAGAACAGTATTCTCCAGTTTTTAGATTATTTCCATTGTGAAAGACAAAATTTACATAAGTATCAAATAGGACATACTTTTAACTATTAGTGGATATGAGCTAGAGAAACTTTAGAAATTCAAAACTACCTCAAGATATAATTGAAACAGTTTTTTTTCTGACTTTAGTTTCCATGTTAGCAAAGGATATTTCATGTTCAGCATAAGAGGAGGTTCTGAATCTAGTTTATATCAGAAATATCAAGAGGTTTCTGGGTTTTTCTACATGTGGAGCATTACTAATCTTGAAAATGCAAAATGTTCCTAAATTGATGCTTAAAATGTTTCAGATTTTGGAGCATTTTGAACTTTGGCTTTTTGTTTTAAGGATTCTCAATTGGTATAAAGTCTAGGTAAATATTCTTAAATGTGAAAGATTCCAAATTTTGAAATGGTCACAAGCATTTCAGTTAAGGGGTACTCAACCTGTATAACCTCTAAGGACATATGCATGTGGTTTTAACATTTCAAAAGACCAATGAAAATATAACTTACTAAAGGGAGATAACCTAAAAATGATATGATAACTTAAGTATCTAATTTCTTTTCTTCTATGTAAAACTCTTGAACAGTAGCGGGGAAAATACCTTCATTCTAAAAGACTATTGCAATATGTTTAGAGCATGCAAACTAGTTGTTTAATTTCCTTGACACTATAGATAAGGAAAGAAATTGAGGAAGAAAATAAGATTTACTATAGTAATCATTATATTTAAGAAATATGTAGAAGTGTTAAAGGGTATCAGTGAAAAATTATTTCTCAAACGTTGCCAGTTGGGAATAAAAGACAGATTTCTGAAAAATTTTGTGTTATTATTTCTTTTTCTTGTTCCACAGAGTGAGCGTTTACAGTCTGACTTAGTGGTATGCATTGTAATTGGTGTGCTGTATTTTGCTATTCATGTAAGCACGGTGTTCACAGTATTACAGGTAAAGGAATCATTTTATTCTTTCAGTTGGGGGAAAATAACCTTTGAATTCATTTCTGATTTTGGTTATATTGTTTGTCAATAGCACTGAAATATATGACTCTTCATTTGGTTTTAACATATATTTATTTTCTCATGCCTTTTCTGGGTCATGAATCTTGAGAGTGGCTTAGTTAAGTAATCCCCAACTTAGGATCTTTTATGATATTGCAATCTTCTGAGGTTTGTTGTTTATAGGATTCAGTTCCTTTCCAGGTGGTCCTCCCCATAGCAGGCCTGAGTGTCCTCATGAAATGGGAACTGGTTTCCCCTGGAACAAGTGATCCTAGAGAAAGAAAGTCCAAAACAGAAGCTGTGCTTCTATAACCTGATATTGGAAATGACACATTGGTACTTGTGCCATATTCTATTGGTCATATAGACAAACCCTGGTATAATGTGGGAAGGAAATACCCACCAGGGAGCCAGGATCATGGGGACCATTTTGGAGGCTGACTACCACAGTCCACTCTCTAGCATCCATGACTTGCATCCCTCCCATATGCAAGATGCCCTTATTATCTTCTAAAAAACCCCAAAGTCGGGGGTGGGGTTATGGCTCAGCAATAGAGCGCTTGCCTCACACGTGCAAGGCCCTGGTTCGATCCTCAGCACCACATAAAAATAAATAAATAAAATAAAGTTAAAAAAAAAACCCGAAGTTTTATTTCTAGATAGCTGGAAAGCCTAGAACCTTATTATCTAATCAGGCTCAGATATGGAAGAGTTCCTTAAGGACAGTTCCTTCTCCCTGTGGGCCATGTCATTACCATAGTTACTGTAGATCCATATTTCCTTCTACCTGAAAGATTTACTAGAACATTTCTTATAGTATGAATCTGTAAATTCTTTCAGCCTTTGTATTTCTGAGAAAGTCCTTATCTCACCATTGGTTTTGAAAGATACTTTACTATGTGTAAAATTCTAAGAAGGCAGGTTTTTTTCTTTCAGTATTTAAAAATATTGTTGCATTGCTTCTGGCTTCCATTGCTTCTGATTTGAAAGCTGCTGTTACCTTTATTTAATTTTTTTGGTAATGGGATTGAACCCAGAGGTGCTTTACCACTAAATCACATCTCCATCCCTTTTATTTTTATTTTGAGACAGGGTCTTACTAAGTTGCTTAGGGCCTTGCTTAGTTGCTGAGGCTGGCCTCAAACCTGTGATTCTCCTATCTCAGCCTCCAGAGTCCTTGGGATTATAATAGTCTTGTGCCACTACTCCTCACAAGTTATCTTTATTCCTCTGTAGATATCCTTTTTCCTTCCTCTATTTCTTGTAGGATTTTCTTTTATCATTAGTTTTGAATAATTGGATTATGATGTACCTTCATGTAGATTTCCTCATGTTTTTGTGTTTGGGGTTTAAACTTTTCATTCAATTTGGAAAATTTTAGCCTTCATTATTTCAGATGTTTTTGCCATTCTTCTCCTCCTGCCTTTCCCAGCTTGCCGCTTCCTCCACCCTGTCCTCACACTGTTTCATGAACTCCAAATATGTACAGCTTTGCCTTCCGAGAATATTTCAGTTATCAGATGCTCTGTTCATTTTCATCTTTTTTTTCCCCTGTGTTTAATTTTAAATGGTGTCATTGATAGGTCTTTAAATTCACTAATCTTTTTTTCTGTATATGTGTAATCTGTCATTAATCCCATTTCTTAAATCTCAGAATTATAATTTTTTATAATTTATCATTTTTAATCTCTAGAAGTTTATTTAGGTCATTTAAAAAAAAATATCTCCCTGGGCTGGGGTTGTAGCTTAGTAGTAGAGCACTTGCCTAGCATGTGTGAGGCAGTAGGTTCGATTCTTAGCACCACATAAAAATATATTTAAAGAAAGGTATTGTGTACATCTAAAAAAATTTTAAAAATAAAATACCAAAGCTTTTCTATGTCAAATAAAAATCAGAAATGTCCACCTTCCTTACTTGACTTTTTGAACATAAAATATTCTGTTACAACTCTTAATGTCCTTGTCTACTAATTCTAACATCTATATCACAGTTTAGTTCTTATTATCTGATTTTCTTACCCTCTCTAGGGGTCATAGTTTTCTGAGTCTGTGCACACTCAGTAATTTTTGATTGAATGTCATACTATAAATATTACATTTAGGTGTCAGATAATTTTGTATTTCCAGAAATATTCTTGAACTTTTTTCTGGAATACTGTTAAGCACTTTTTAATTTTAAGGTTTCTAAGGTAGGACTAGGGCCTCATGTGTAGTAGAGGTGGTATTCCCCACTACTGAGGAGAATATCCTTTTGAGGTCTCTTCTCAGTGCTCTGTGAATCTTTAGCTCTTTCAGTCTGGCTTGTGAGAGCAGGTACTCTCCTGCTCTATCTGAGTGCTAGGTAATATCTCCATTCCCTTTGTGAGCTACTTTCCCTGCCCTTGTGTAGTTCCCTCACTTGCATGCAGTGGTATTTTCCTGAATATTCCAAGGGAACCCTCTGCAGATCTCCAGAGTTCTCCCTCTGGGTGGCTTTCTCTTTTATACACTGTCTCTTCTGGTGAAGTCTAGCCACCTGATCTTTCTAAACTTTAGAGTTCCACATCCTTATCTCACAGTGTGCTTGGTTTTGCTTGGGTTCCCCTCCCTGTGGGACAACCTGGAGACCCAGGGCAGGAAGCTGGAGCAGTCATGCTCACCTCCTTTATTCCCTTCCTTCAGGGTTCAGGCTTATTTCCTGTGTCCCATCTGTCACAGACCATTGGGTCAAATGTTTTATTCAGTTCTGATAGTTTAATATGATTGTTTAATATAGAGGCAAAGACATAATTATTTAATTTTATTTAACATTTCAAACATTATAAAACTATTGGTCTGTGACCACTTCCAAACAAGTACGGTCCAGTGGGTCATCAAGGTGCAAATGGAGGCTCCTTCACATCCAAGTGGTTCCAGAATGTCTAAATGTGACTTACATAGAATATTTTAAGAGAGAATACTTGATTCCCTCTTTTGTACATAGAATTCAAATAATATACAGTGTGAAGGAACAAATAAAGTGGAATACTTTTTCTTTTTTTTTCTGCTCTGCTCTCAGACTCAGTTTTACTCGGTTTATATCCTTTATCTCTGCTAGTTAAAACAACTTGATTACATTGCTCTGAAATTGTATATAACATTTTTGGGAGCAGGAAGCAGTACAACTCCAGTCACACTCTTATTGTACAGTAGTGTGAGACACCAAAGGAAGTAGTTTACACATTTAAAATACCTGTAACGTAAGAACAGTCATTATCTTTCATGGCTTGATTTTAATCAGCTTTATGTTTCATGCTACATAACTTAGAAATATAACTATGATAAATGTTTAGTTCTTCGGTTCTAAAACTGACTTTGCTGTTCTCTATTATCAAATGGAAAATTGCACCCCCAGTTGAGAGGTTCCAAAGTGAGTCTTAAAGTCACTCCTAATTTTCTCAACTCTTTTTCTTTTAAAGCCTGCTCTCAAGTTTGTGTTATATGCATTGGTTGGCTTTGTGGGTTTCGTAACCCACTATGTGCTGCCTCAAGTTAGGAAACAGCTACCATGGCATTGTTTCTCTCATCCTCTGCTGAAGACCGCAGAGTACAATCAGTATGAAGTTCGAAGTAAGTATTTCCTTAACACTTTTTTTTTTTTTTTTAATTAATACTAAGGTTGTGTTCTTTTTACTAGGCTGATAGATGACTAGGTATGTATCATTGCAAAACAACTTGGCTATGCTTCTTGTCCTTAAATTTGAACCTATTAATGAATCAGATCTTTTTCAGGATGATGGTTTTCTTTTTGTTTGAGTGTTTGTTTTGGGGTTTTTTTTTTTTTTTTTTTGGTAGTGGGGAATTGAAAAGGTCTTTGTTGTTATTTCTGCCAGAGACACCAGGTCCTACCAGAGTTTAAAAAACCAAACAAACAAACATTTTTTAATTGCTGTTTTTAGTTCAGATTTGGGATAAACTATAAAATGACTCAAAAAGAGATATGAGGCCTGTCTGTTTGGCAAGCTGTTGCTTCATTTTTCTTTCCTTTGTAAATATTCACTTCTTGTTCATTGGCCCCCTGACCAGTGATATGCTATACTTCCTCATTTTAGAGAAATAAATGTTCATATCTAAGTCATTTATTATTGTACCAGTGATGAAATAAACCAAAATTTTCTTCACAGACTTTTCTTTCAATTGTGAAATTGCTATAAAAGGAGAAATAAACCTCTCCGTCATTTGAAGATGCATTAACATTTTTAGAAAATTCTGAAGCCTTTGAAAACTTTCTGTAAAAAACTTGACTTTAGGGCTGGGGTTGTGGCTCAGTGGTAGAGCCTCACACACTTCATGTGTGAGGCTCTGGGTTTGATCCTCAGCGCCACATAAAAATAAATAAATAAAGGTATTATGTCCATCTACAAGTAAAAGGAAAAAAATAAAAAATAAAACTTGACTTTATTTTCTCAAAGCAAATTTCCTGGGCCTTTTAGTGAAATTGATTGAAGCATGATGCCACTTTAACCTTCATCACCAGTTGGATCTGCAGGCGATAATACAACACTAATATGTAGATTGTATTAGCAGCACTGTGAGGACCTTTTACAAAATGTGTGCTCTTTAAATAAGGGAAAACAATATGAAATTGTGAGAATCAGTACTCACCCGTCCCCTGCATCATGGAAGTAACTCAGAATGAGATTTTTTTTTATTAGCATTGCTTTTATACATAAATGACAGCAAATATATCTAATTTGTTTTAAAAATGCACTTTTAATTAAATGCATAATTGACCATATTGTTTATTTCTAACTTAAAAGTCTGACTTTTTTTATAAATTTTGCATCAACCTGATGTTTTTGAATTTTTGAAAGTACTAAATAGTAGTGAAATCATTTTTTTCTCCTACTGATTTTAGCAATTGAAAGAAAAATTATAATCATTAGAGAACTTATTAAAAGCCTGGAAATTGAGGCTGGGGCTCTGGCTCAGAAGTAGAGCGCTTGCCTACCATGCGTGAGACGCTGGGTTCGATCCTCAGCACCACATAAGTATAAAATAAAAATATTGTGTCCACCTATAACTAAAAAATAAATATTAAAAAAAGAAGCCTGGAAATATTGCTGTCAGGTAGCTGAAGAACCATGTATTAAATCTTTGATGTTATTCAAGATAGTTTATTGGAAATGAATGTGACTCTTATGAAGTATATGAATTCAAATAATAAATTCTCATTTAGATATTATAATTATATATGTGTATATGTCTATATCTTAATATTTTAAAAATAAATAATAGATATTTATTTGGGGACTTGGGGCAGCCTAATAATATTCAGTAACCTTTTCTCTTTGAGATGTAGCAAAAAGTGAGAAAAAGTTAGTTAAAAACAGGTTTTAAGAATTAAAATTTAAGCCAGGCACAGTGGCCCATGCCTGTAATCCCAGCAACTCGGGAGGCTGAGGCAGGAGGATCATTAGTTCAAAAGCCAGCCTCAGCAATATCGAGGCGCTGAGCAATTTGATGAGTCCCAGAAATGGGCTGGGTATGTGGCTTAGTGGTTGAGTGCCCCTGAGTTCAATTCCTGGTACCAAAAAAAAAAGAAAAAAAAAGAGAAAGAAAGAAAAAAGAATTAAAGTTTAAAATGAAATTCATTTAAATATGTCATATCCAAATAGCACGTTGGTAAGTATTTCACAATCAAGAGTTGACAATGGTTAAAATACTAGATTTTTACATTTTTATTTATAGTGTAGAGCTAATTTGATTTGTGAGAGTTTCCTTTCTTGTCACATTGCTAGACTACTTTATACATTGGATGACACATGATCTTCTTGACTTACATTGCCTTGTTAGATGCAGCTACTATGATGTGGTTTGAAAAACTTCATGTGTGGCTTCTTTTTGTTGAGAAGAATATCATCTATCCACTGATTGTTCTCAATGAACTTAGTAGTAGTGCAGAGACAATTGCCAGTCCAAAGAAACTGGATACAGAGTAAGTACAATAATCTTCTAGTCTAAGTCTGACTCTTGGGGACTGTTTCTAACAACAGTATTACAATATAGTGTCTTCGGTTGTTGATCAAGGTCCAGATATCCATCGAGTGTCTCTGTGGTAATTGGCATTGTAAGGTGAAAAATTCAGGTGAAATTTTGTCTTTCACTTCCCTTTTTGAAACATCTACTGTTGTTCTTAGCAAATTCACTACTACAAACATCTCATTGTCATTGTCAATATTTTATGAGAGGACATTTATTAAGGTTAATTTTTAATATTAGATGACAGGTCTGGGAGATGGCTGGTTTTGTGTACTGTGTAAGTTGTACCATATAGATGGTCAGTTGCCTTCATGGTTATCCCATGGCCTATCCCCTACTGTAGATACATGTTTTGGAGTAAGTATTATGTTTTTCATGTGCTAAATGTAATTGACATTACAGCGATAGAAATACTTTGAAATTAGAGAACCAGATGATAGAATTACAATACTACCCATTTTTTAAAAATGTGCTTAGACTCATAGAGGATTAGAATTATAATAATACTGTTGAAAGAGAATATCATACTAATTGGATCCTTTCAAGATGTGATTTGCGTTGTATATAAATAATTTTTGCAAGTTTAAATTTGATCTCTATATTGTAAGCCTAGTAAATTGGTCATTTTTCTAAAATTAGCGAATGTTCCAGTGTGATCAGCCATGAGTTGATGGGTTGTGCCTTTTTTATGTTACAGATTAGGTGCTTTAATGATCACCATTGCTGGCTTGAAGTTGCTGCGATCCTCTTTTAGCAGCCCTACGTATCAGTATGTCACAGTCATCTTTACTGTGCTCTTTTTCAAATTTGACTATGAAGCTTTTTCAGAGACCATGCTATTGGATCTCTTCTTCATGTCCATACTGTTCAGCAAGGTAATTTATCACTGAAAGGAATGTCTCTGCCTGCAAAAACTATCACTCTAAGTAATACACTACTTTGTGAAGATTATGCATATATTTCACTGATTTGTTGTCTTTTAATTAATATCTCTTGTCAGTTTACTTAGAGCATATTAGAATCCCTAAGCAATGCTAGTCATAGTGCTTCATAAAAGATATATTTTTTGCTATAATTAGGAAGATAAAATTAAGTTATATGGAGAAACATTAAAATTAAGTTATATAGAGAAACATTGTATAGGATCTTCCAAAGCAGAGTGTGGTTTTGAATAATTTTAGAAAGACAAGTGGTAATAGTTGAATTTGGGTGACTGGATAGATAGAGGGAATAAATTCTAGTGAAGAATAACCTGCTAACTGAATGAAGACAGTAAGGCCATATGGGAGCAACCAGAAATTAACTTGACAGAATACTCTGAAATTTACAGAATGCTTTTAAAATTCATTATTTTCCTTCAGATAAGTGTTCTTATGCCCTTTATAAATGAGATGACAAAATCCATATCTTCTGCCTCTTAAAGCAAGGATGTTTCTACTGAACCATACTACCTTTCTCAAATAGGTTGTATAGTCAGATTGTTTGTAAATTAAATAGTAATTAGATTTCATGGTAACACTGACCACATACAAAGGACTTTGACATATATTATCCCATTTGATAGGTAACAGAGAGCTGAAGCAAATGAACAGCTACAAAATGTAGTCAAAGTCCAATTTTAGGCAAGTTAGCCTGGTCAGCCACATTTGGGATGAAATGGGAAAGAGAACCTGAAGGTATGGAGAACAGCTTAAGAGTTGTGACAGTTATTCAGATGTGACAGAGGTCTGACCTAGGATAGAACAGTGAAAATGGAAAGCAATTAATTCAAACAAGGTTTTAGTGGTAGTCATTTTCAGTATTATGAGAAATACTCTTTAAACTATTTCAGTAATACATTTGTTTAATCACTAATTTATATGCACTTTAATCATTTATTTCCTCTTGTCAGCATGACTATTAACCAAAAGACAAAACCAAAAAGTGAATCAGAGAATTGTTTGTATAAAGAAGCATGTGGTTTCTCACAAACTGTGATACTTTGATTGAAAATTGTGTTGTGTCTTATACTGGTTGGAAATAAGTGAAAGCTGAAGTAAAACATAACCTAAGCAATATATGAACTACAGCTGGTACACTTAACTCTACATTAGTTTGGATTTTCTTAATCCTTTCTTTTTTTTTTTTTATTTTTTATTTTTTTTTTTTATTGTTGGCTGTTCAAAACATTACATAGTTCTTGATATATCATATTTCACAATTTGATTCAAGTGGGTTATGAGCTCCCATTTTTACCCCATATACAGATTGCAGAATCACATCAGTTACACATCCATTGATTTACATATTGCCATACTAGTGTCTGTTGTATTCTGCTGTCTTTCCTATCCTCTACTATCCCCCTCTTAATCCTTTCATTTGATCCTACATTTGAAAATCCTTTCATTTTCAAATATTCGGGGTGGGGGGGAACGTACCTTTTCTCAGAAGTGTTCTAGATACATAGGCTGTTAATTAGTGAAAAAAGCAGAGAAAGCTCTGCTCTTAAGGAGTTTGCCTTTTGTATGTCACTAGAAAGAACAGTGATAATAAGCAAGTAATATTTAAGAGATCTCTTTAGATATATTTTTATTCTAAGATATCATCGATTTAATAAACCTTTTAATTAAATGTAGACAAAATTGTTGTTATCCACCCACTACACACCTATTTGAGTACAGTCTGCTTCACATTTAGTTTTCCCAAGTTACTCCTTTTAAGTAGTTCTAAAGACATCATGATAATAGACATGTTTCTTCTACTTCATGTGATCCTTTTTACATTAGTACTAGGATTATTAGCATGATTTTGAGTCATGGCTAAAAATATGGGATTCATCTGCATTTCTGATGGGTTGAAATTGTGATTTTTTTCAGTTGATTGATTTTTCAGTGTTGGGAATTGAACCCAGGGCCTCACACATGCAAGTGAAGCCCTCTACCATTGTGCTATATCCCCCAGCCCTGATTTTTTTTTTAAATTGGAAGTCAAAACAAGTCATTTGTAAATCAACTTAAGTACTTTAAGAGATGAGATGTTTGTGTCTAATCATGTCACCAAATTAGTCAAAATTTTTGCTTTTTAAGATTCTTGTGATTTATTTCAAGAGTTAGGTTTTGTTTTTTTTTTTTTTTTAAATTTGTACTTTTTATTTTTAATTAACAAATCAATGTACATATTTATGGGGTACAGTGTGATAGCAGCACAATTCACAATAGCTAGACTGTGGAACCAACCTAGATGCCCTTCAATGGATGAATGGATAAAAAAAATGTGGCATTTATACACAATGGAGTATTACTCTGCATTAAAAAATGACAAAATCATAGAATTTACAGGGAAATGGATGGCATTAGAGCAGATTATGCTAAGTGAAGCTAGCCAATCCCTAAAAAACAAATGTCAAATGTCTTCTTTGATATAAGGAGAGTAGCTAAGAACAGAGTAGGGTCGAAGAGCATGAGAAGAAGATTAACATTAAACAGGGATGAGAGGTGGGAGGGAAAGGGAGAGAGAAGGGAAAATGCATGGAAATGGAAGGAGACCCTCAGAGGTATACAAAAGTACATACAAGAGGAAGTGAGGGGAAAGGGAAAAATAATACAAGGGGGACAAACGAATGTCAGTAAAGGGGGCAGAGAGAGAAGAGGGGAGGGGAGGGGAGGGGAGGGGAGGGGGGATAGTAGAGGATAGGAAAGACAGCAGAATACAACAGACACTAGTATGGCAATATGTAAATCAATGGATGTGTAACTGATGTGATTCTGCAATCTGTATATGGGGTAAAAATGGGAGCTCATAAGAGTTAGGTTTTGTATTGCCTGATGTGCAGAGACTGACTTGGACAAACACAGTATCCCTGTTTCAGGGTTGAAGATTGTCAACAACAATAACAGATTCAAAGTTAAATGACTAAAATGTGTATTATGCTTCCATTGACAACAATTGAAATTATGAACAAATGTCAGGTATATGCAACAAAATTCCTATGCAAACAGGCAATGACAACTGTATACAATTGGTATTTTCACAATCCTTTTGACATTGCCTTTGAAACATACTCAGTTTCCAGAACACTAAAATTTAAGGAAAATGTATTTTAGAATAAAATGTTTTACTTAAGCATTACAGATATCTAGATGTATTTTTCCCCCCAAGGATTGTTATTTTGCTTCTTGCTACCTTTCTTCATTTTGCTTGTAAAAGTAGTAATATGACAGGCCAATAGAGGGCATAGAACTTTTTAAATTAATGAAACACAAATCCACAAGTCAGCTAGCCATCTTTACTTAAAAAATGATATTTTTATTTAAAAATAAGTTCAGCATTTTGGCAATAATGAATCTTTTCCTGTTATGCAAATGGTAGATAATTTCAGTGCAGTTTCTCTAGTAGGAAGAAAATATATTTCATAGGACTTTCATTTTCTAATTCAAATATCTGATTAAGTTTTTTGCTGATGGGTTTTCTTTTCCTCCTACAGCTTTGGGAACTCCTCTATAAGTTGCAGTTCGTATATACCTACATCGCCCCGTGGCAGATTACATGGGGTTCTGCTTTCCATGCGTTTGCTCAGCCCTTTGCAGTGCCTCGTATCCTTCAAATTAAAATTATGAGAATGGATAGTCATATCCTTGATGAGAGTGTTGATTTACAAGGAAAACCTTTCATAGGCATAGAATATAGGTTACTATATGTAAATTATGAAACACTCATTCTTTTTAGTTCTGATCTATCCTGATTTAGATTGTTTAACTTATATTAACATGTGTGGCCCACAGATCATCTAAACATGAGAAAAAGTTTTGTAGTTAAATAATGCTAACTTAAAATTCCATATTTTAAATAAAAATTAATATGAATGTTATTAAAATCTAAAAATAAAAATATTTTAATGTACACAGAATGTTTAGAAATATTTTTAATAAACAAAACACTTTTGCAATTATAATTGAACTGTCTGAAATTTTGTATTCTCTTCATTTCTTAAAAATATTTTCTAAATAATAACAAGGTTAATGACACCAGTGATGTTAAAAGGCAGACTTTGATACTTCTAAGGAAAATTAAGCCTGAGCATTTCTTTCTAAATTGATACATGGACTTTTACCAAATATGTATTAGCAAATATTTATTTGGCTCCCTTCAAAGTATCAGATCAATTCATATTTTCCTTGTTTTGTTTTTCTGTTGGTATGCCCTTGGGGTGTCCAGTGACATCATCTTTCGTATTTATATTGTGAACTTTATTTCTCTAATCACTGTAATCTAAATGTGTTTGTGAATTTTTTTTCTTTGTTCTTCATGTCTGTGTGTATGCATGCTCAGATGAATCTTAAGTTCCTTAACCACTTTTCCCATAGATTCAGCCATGCTGTTTATTCAGGCTGCTGTATCAGCTTTCTTCTCTACTCCACTAAACCCTTTTCTAGGAAGTGCAATATTTATCACTTCTTATGTTCGGCCTGTGAAATTCTGGGAGAGAGATTATAAGTGAGTAAACTAAAATGCTTAAAAAGATAATTTCTTTTTTATAGGAAAAACTATTGACAGCATTATTAGTATAAGTTATTTGTGGTTCATAATTGTGAATTTTTTGAGAGGGAGGGTACTGAGGATTGAACCAGGGGCACTCTATCCCTGAGCTACATGTTGAAATAGTTTTGCTAAAAATTTATAAATATTTTTAAAATATGAAGATTATGTGATAGAATTGAGGGAAATCACTGTATCTCTTTTTTCTACTCATGAGATTTTTAAAAATATAATTCTAATTTAAGTATACTCATTTTTGCATCTTTTTTTCTTTCAGTGACATTTCTTAAACTTATTCCTCATTAATACTACTCTGAACCTTTATGCTACCTAATATTACAGTGAATTACCTCATAGTTTTCTTAGCAGTAGCTGACTATTTGAGATCTAATTGTTTTTGGTGGTGGCCGTAGGGTTGGGGGAGGTACTGGTGATTGAACCCAGAAGCATTTTACCCCTGAGCTACATCCCCAGCCTTTTTATTTTTTATTTTGAGACAGAATCATGTTAAGTTGCTTAGAGCCTCTTTAAGTTGCTGAAGCTACCTTTGAACTTGTGATCCTCCTGCCTCAGCCTTCTGAGTCACTAGTTACAAGTGTATGCTACTGTGCCCAGTGAGATCTAAATTTTTATAAGTTATCTCTGCTTTTTCATGAAGGAAAAGTTTTTAATGACCATCTTTGTACATAAAGTAGGCTTAGTTCCTTGGAAAGAGCTTATGCGAATTTATGATTCTGTTGGCCATCTCCATGAATGCTTTTTTTCCTACATTTTTCACACATTGGCATTTTTGCTGGGGAAAAATTGTGGTCTCATCTTTGAAACAGTGAATTGGCTTGTGGGTTTGAAATTTTGATTACAGTTCCTTACCTAAAACCACACATAGTATTTCTCATTTTGGCAAATTTCACTGTTATTTGTATCCTATTCTGGACCAACTTCCAACCCAAAGTCATATCCTGTGATAGCAGTTATTTAAGTATTTTGGTCTCAGAATCCCTTAGTAATCTTAAAAATTGTTGAAAATTCCATAGGTTTAAGAATAACTATATTTTCCCACCAACCAAAATAAAAAATTGGAAGAATTCATTGTTTTTCAGCACTGCAAATCTTTTAATGTCTGGATTGTTAACAAACAGATGAATTCTTTTATCTGCTTCTGTAGTCATTCTGTTGTTATTATGCTATTTTGCTTGAAATATATGAAGAAAATTTGGCCTCACTCAGGTAGTTGAAAAAGGAGTACTTCCATAGACATTTAAAGCAATTGTGGATACTTTTTCCTTGATTCTTCACTAAAACTCAACAAATGGTAGACTCTTAAAAGTAAGCACAGTGTGGAATTTAAATTGTATCTGTATTTTTGGAATTTTGTAACATCAATATTTATGTATCTATCTTGTATTTTGAATGAATCTTTTTATTACTCATGTATTATTTTATAACATTATATATTATTCACTTAGAAAAATATTGTTTTACTGAGTAAAAGACATCTTCTAAATGTTGACACAGTTCTTTATGTAGTGTTTAAAAAATATATTCATTAATATTACTACCAATCTCAAAAGAAATAACAAAGTATTGGGAAGCCATCAGGCTCATGGTGATGGATACAAGTTTTTTCCACATTGTAAAATTTTCGTAAAACTTGAATTTTGTCAATGTGAACAGATATTACCAGTTGTTTTCCTTGAAATGACAGATTCATTTTCTTTGTTGTTGAGAAATGTTTATTAAATAACCCATATGAATAATTTTCAATTTCCTCAACAGCTGTTCAAGTAAAAATGGTGTTGTTTTTTTTTTTTTTGTTGTTGTTGTTGTTGTTTTTTTAAAGCTGCTAGCTTGGCTTATAATTCTAATGATTGCACACATGCTTTCCCTCAGGACAGCCATTCAGAATGCAGCAGAAGTGCTTTCTCTGTATTTTCTCATTTTGCCAAACAGAACATTAAATAGGCCATACTAAGGAATTGAGATTTAATAAAATTCACATTTTTTACGGCCTTATTAAGGATATTTTAAGTGAAACTGTCCATTTGTTTTTTTGTGCATGTGTGGCAGTGAGGGATAGTACTGTTTGGTGTTGCTGCCTTGATCTGTGCTCAAACATCAGCTGTTTTACCCACTGTGCTTCTGCACCTTCAGTGCAGTTGTCAAACCAGGGGAAAGGGGCTAATAACAGCTCAGCATCATTAAAAGAATAGTTTTGTGTTTTATATATTTTTTTGTAGTTGGTAGATGGACACAATTCCTTTATTTTATTTATTTTTCTTTATGTGGTGCTGAGGATTGAACCCAGGGCCTTACACATGCTAGGCAAGCACGCTACCACTGAGCAACACCCCCAACCCTAGAAGAATAGTTTTGATCTGGAAAAGTCCTTGAAAAAATCCTGGTTTCACAGTCTACATTTTTGGAACCACCGTTCTAAAGACTAGACACAATACCACTGAGCTTTAATAGGTATGCCTTCCCCTTGAAAAGAATGTTTTATGTACTGTGAATTTCTGAGAACCATATGCAGCCCGCATTTTTTCATTCTGGTCTCTTACCCCTCCCTGCACTGTACCACCTCTGTATGTCTTTTTACACACTCTGCAGTTACATCTGCTAGGGGGAGAAAAACCTGCTCTGTTTATGTGTGGTAAAGGTTAAAAGACTGTAAAATTGTGCTACCAGCTAGGGATGTAGCTGAGTGGTAGAGTACTTACCCACCACGCATGAGACGGGCTCGAGCCCCAGAACTACAAAAAGCAAACAAAGTGTGCTGCCAAGGAGTTTATCAATATATTAGGAACAGAGATTTTCCTAAAGCAATATTATTTGATCTGGATCCTATAGTTCCCTCCTTGTGTTTCGTTTGGTTTTCGTTTTGGGTTTTGCAGTACTGGGGATTGAACTCAGAAATGCTCTACCACTGAGCTACAAACCTAACCCTTTATATTTTGTATTTTAAGACAGGATCTCAGTTGCCCAGGCTGTCCTTGAATTTGTTGATCCTCTTGCCTCAGCTTCCCAAGTTGCTTGGTTTATAGGCATGCCACTGTGTTCAGTTCCCTTACTCTTATTAAATTTTTTTTAAGTGTAAAGAAATTAAATGTGTTTTATTTTGTCCTCTTTAGCACAAAACGAGTAGATCATTCAAATACCAGATTGGCTTCCCAGCTTGATAGAAATCCAGGTAATAACTCTACTTGTGAGTAAGGCTTTACATTAAAGATTTTATTTGTCATGTGTATGTAATATGTAACTATACATTTATTATCTTTGTTAGAATTCTTTGAGTTCCAACTAGTCATTTTTAAAAACTAATATCCTTTGCTTTGTTTTACTTTAGCAAAGTATAGTGTATATGAATTAGACTATCTCCAATTTGTATGCTTATCTTTTTTTTTTTTAAATGAGATAGGTTCTTAATCTATTACCCAGGCTGTCTTAAATTTGTGATCCTCTGGCCACCAGAGCAGCTGGAATTACAGGCATATGCTACTATACCTGGCTTATACCTATCCTTAATAAAATGCATTTAAAGAATGCTGATGGGAAATTTTTAAACACCATTGAAAAGTTATTCTTACATAGATTAAAAAAGTAGAAAGCATTTAAAGTAAAATTGGTCAAGTGTGTTGAAGGATATACAGCACATTTCATTAATATGTTGGCTTCTGCCTGTCCCTGAATTCATAAGTAAATGTTAATGTAATGTTAGTTTTTTATGTATCGAGTTGTCATCTATGAGGGACCAAATAACCACTTAGGATATGGCTTGAATGGGTGGCACTTTGGTGGCATTACCATTATTTAAAATGTGGTTCTTAGTTTTATTATTTGGGAAACATGATTTTATTGGGCTCTCCAATAGTAATCTGCCAGAGAAAATGAATTTCACTATCACAGTTGTGAAGGACTAACAAACAGCCAGAACCTAAGTGTGTTAAAGAGACATTACTCTCAAATAGACTGAAATATTTGTATCTATTTGACTTATAAGTTTCCTTTAAAATACTATATGCATCTGAAAAACCAAACTATAAGGATCTAATTTTTTTTTAAGAGAGAGAAGAAAGAGAGAATTTTTTTTAATATTTTTTTTTTCAGTTTTCGGTGGACACAACATCTTAATTTTATTTTTATGTGGTGCTGAGGATCGAACCCAGCGCCCCGCACATGCCAGGCAAGCGTGTTACTGCTTGAGCCACATCCCCAGCCCTCTAATTTAATTTTAATACTTGATTAAGGAGTACTAACTGTTTGATATTAATGACTGTTACCATCACATTCTAGTAGAGAAAAAAACCATCTCAAGTCTAGTGGATACTATAAGGGGCTGGAATTGTCCTGATGCTTCCCATAGGACAAAATCACTTTTGTATTGGGCATGCATAGAGTTAGATACAATCATTTTATTGCTATTAGAACCTAGGGTTCCCCTTTCATTATTTTAATATTTAGTTTGAGTTTAAAATAATTACTAAAGTTTGACGTTTTGCCATTCTCTAGTACTGTCCTTTGGGGTACCCACTTACAGGGTGTTGCTTTTGATGGGTTACTTCTAGAGGAGGCCATCTCATTCATGATGTTTTATACTAATGTTTTTCTTACAGGAGAACCCTAATGTACCATTTGTAGGTTCTTTTTTTCTACATTTGCATGTACAGTTTATTTTTGCTAAATATCAACCATCTTGATATTCAGGATCTTTTTGACTAACTTCTCTTTGGACTGTCTTGTTCAAGTCTTATATATTTTACCCACTTCCTTTACCAAATAATCTTTTTGTTCTCCTTCTGAATATTTTCTTTTTCATTTATCTGTATAGTTTTAATTATAAGGCACATGTCATTGAATAGCAATAACTGTACATGAATTGTAAGTAATGGACTGTTAAAAAGGTGGAAAAGTTTTTAGATTGTATCTAATCAAATTCCCACATTACATGGATGGGAACCCTAGGAGAAGTTATGTAACCTCTCTCAATTCTGAAACCTCGCTCATTATCCTGTTTCATTTTTATGTAGAAATTGTAAGGGTATGAGTATTATTTATCTATTCAAGTAAATATAAATACAACCTGAGCTGGAAGTTAGTATTGATATTTTTAACAATCTCATTTGTCAGTATGAAAGGGACTAAGGTAAAATCTGACATTTTGATTTTTTGTTTAATCCCTTCTTGTAGGATCAGATGACAATAATCTGAATTCCATCTTCTATGAACATTTAACCAGATCCCTGCAGCACAGCCTCTGTGGTGATTTGTTACTGGGACGGTGGGGAAACTACAGTACTGGGGATTGTTTCATCCTTGCCTCTGACTATCTCAATGCATTAGTACACCTTATAGAAATAGGCAATGGTCTTGTCACTTTCCAGCTGCGGGGCCTGGAATTCAGAGGTAGGACATTCATTCATCTTTTATTTTTATACTGTACTTCTTTTCTACAGCATCTAAGTTTTGTGTGTTTATATCTCAAATTGAAAGTGTTCATAAAATTAGATTTTTGGGATTATGCAATAAAAGTTGTTAAAAGAGTAATTATTAGCCCCTTGCCCAATTTCATAGTCACTAGAGAGTAATTTTTTGATGTTGCATTATATGTGAATGTAGTAGCATTAGTATACAGTCGACTTATTTACCTGGAGATATTGAACTTCTATTGCTCTTTGCTTGGTCTTTTGCCAGGCCCTTTTGTGACAAATTGCATATGTTTGCTCAATGGCTAGTGGCATAGAATGTTGTGTTGTGTGAGACAGAGTGGTTGACTGAGTGATGTTCAGAGAGTCACCGTGCCATTGTCCTCAACATTTTTTTTCAATTAAAAAGTGAAATTCACCTAAAATTAATCACTTAAAATGAAGAAATCACTGGCATTTTGTACGTACATTTGCAGTGTTCTGCAACTCCCACCTCTGTCTAGTTCCAAATAAAACCTCATGTCTATGAAGTAGTTACTCCTTATGCCTCTTCCACATGCTCTCCACAGTTTTATTTACTGACAAATGAAGCTGTTTCTTCACAGAAACTGGTACATTCAGAAACATATCAGCTTGTTGTTGTCAACTCCTAGAAGTTAAATAACTTCTTTTTTGTTTTATTAATACAGCTAACACTGTGTGCCAGATACTGTTCTGTGCACTTTACCTGTATTAACTCATATTTTTCCATTTTTTAATAGTTGTACATAATGATAGGATTTATTTTTGCATAGTCATACAGGCACACAATATAACAACATAATTTGGCCAATATCACTCCCTAGCAGTTATCCCTCCTCCCCATCTCCTACTCCTTTGTCCCTTTCCTCTGATCTCCCTTTGATTTCTGTGAGATCTGCCCCCACCTTCCTTTTCCTTTTTCCTCTCTAGCTTCCACATAAGAGCGAAAACCTAAGTTTCTTGACCTTCTGAGTTTGACTTATTTCATTTAACATAATGATCTCTAGTTCCATCCATTTTCTTGCAAATGATGTAATTTCATTTTTCATTATGGCTGAGTAAACTTCATTGTGTAAACTTCATTGTGTATATATACCACAGATTCTTTATCCATTTCTCTTTTGATGGATACCTAACTGGTTCCACAGTTTGGCTATTGTGAATTGTGCTGCTATAAACATGGTTATACATGTATCACTGTGGTTTTATTACTTTAATTCTTTAGGATAAACACTGAGGAGTGATAAAGCTGGGTTGTATAATGGTTCCATGCCTTATCTTTTAAGGAACCTCCATTCTGATTTCCATAGTGGTTGCATTAATTTACAATCCCACCAACAGTGTAAAAGTGTTCCTTTTTCTCCACATCTTAAGTTGAATAACTTCTTTTTTTATTTAAATAGTTATAGTTGTAGATGGACACAATACCTTTATTTTATTTACTTATTTTTATATGATGCTGAGGATCGAACCTAGTGCCTTACACATGCCAGGCAAGTGCTCTACCACTGAGCCCCAGCCCCCTTAAGTTGAATAACTTCTAAGCATAAAATAGAAACTTCTTTTATAGGAATTTCAAATCCTGTGTTTGAATATCTTTTGGTGTATGGGAACATTTGGACTAAAGAGCTTTAGAGAGTTTTTGTTCTATCCTAAGAAGTTTTTTGTGGTGTTTTTAGTCTGGAGTAGGAAATAAGAAAACATTTGACTAGGAAGAGAATCAGTCGGATCTCTGCCCTAAAGGTTAATTTTTACCTTGATATTGAATCAGAAAGTTTGTTATGGAGTTCTGTGGTAGAGCAAGTGCTTGTCTAGAAACTATTCTGTTTTTGTTTTTATAGTTGTAGATGGACAGAATGCCTTTATTTATTTATTTTTTAGTGGTGCTAAGGATCAAACCAAGTGTCTCGCACATGATAGCCAAGCACTTTGCCACTGAACTACAGCCCTAGCCCTAGAAACTACTCTGTTAACTAGTATTTACACAGTGCTCAAATTGTCATAAATATTGATATTTTTCATTTGTACCCCTTTGTCTCCCCTCTTCTGTTCCTAAAATATTCTCTTCTTGTTGTCGGGTGGATGTTTGATTCTGCCTTTCCATCCCAACCTTGCACCTTTATTCCATTTACTCTGGACCTTAATTCTATCTACCCCCATCCTGTTCAAATGTAATCCAAGTGGACTTCTGTAAAAGTCTACACTGTACCCTCAGACTTACCGCTGCTAGAACTTTAAACTTCCTTTAACTTTTGGGACCTGAGGATTTCACCTAGTTTTTTAACTTAATTAAAACAACAACAACAACAAACAAACAAAAAAATGCATGGGGAGGCTTTTTTTCTAGCCTTTACTTTTGTGAAATGGAAGAAGGTCTTTTTATCACTTGCTCTTATCTACTATCATACTTATCTACTATAATATTGATGATAAATTAATCAAATCAAAAAATGATACAAATTCTCATTTTCCCAACTTTCCCCCTCTGGTACTGAATAGATTGAAATAAGTTTTTGGACAAATGCTTGGCTGTTCAAGCTATAGTTGTTTATCAATCAAAATTCAAGTCAAATTTGGAAACATACTATCCCTTACTATCTGAACACATGGCTAGATTTGGACAGCAAGGATAGCTGTAATTCATTCAGATGTTGTGTTGGTATTTTGGTTTTCCTTTTCTTTTTTTTTTTTTTTTAAGAGTTGATCATGTCATTCCTGTGCATGAAAGTTTTCAGTGACTCCTGATACACTTAAATTAAAATTCAAATACTCTAACACATCCTACAATGCTAAATGATTTGGGTTTGCCATTTTCTGCATTCTCACTCTACCCCACTCTCCTCGCCCACTCTAGTCACCTTTCAGTTTCTAAGATGTGTTCAGTTCTTAACTAAGAACTCCTTGTCACCCCACATTTTCCCCCCAGAAAGCCCCATCATCTCCCTTATCCCACCAACCTCCCATCTGGCTAATTCCTTAATTATACTTAGGGATTACCCTAAGTGTTACTTTGCAAAGAGCCTTCCCTGACCACCTGTCCCACGTGATTACATTTCATCTTACCTTGTTTTAATTTTCTTAGTTCTTATCATAGAAATAATTTTATACTTATTTATGTTTATTTGTTTAAAGTTTTTTTCTTCTCTAGCCCTGGGGGTTGGTAAACTTTTCCTGTTGGGAGTTACATGGTAAATATTTTAGACTTTCTGCCCTTTCTCTGTTGGGTACTCTTTATTGTTGTTTTTAAATAATCTTTAAAAAATACAAAAACCATCCTTAACTTGGATTTGGCCAAGGCTGAAGTTGGCCAAACTTCAGGGACAGAAATCACATCTGCTTCAATTGTCATTTTGTTTCAGTACTTATCACACACAGCAATTAGTATCTAATAACTTTGCTAACTTTGTAGATTGACTAAAATGCTGTCTTCTCCTTTTCATTCCAGAACTCTTCATGGGTGTGATTATGTTCTTGCTCCTCAAATATTGATGTGATTCTTGGTTATCATTGTTATCCCTTGTCCCACCTACTTCCTTCTACCCCAAGAATATTCTCTTGCCAAACAAATATGTGGATCTCTTGAGTGTTTTGGTGTATTTCTGGGGTATGCTCAATTACACAAATTAAATTTAATTTTGGTGGTTAATTTTAAGCAGTATTTAACTGAACAGATTTCTTGATAAATTTCCTATAGGTCTTACTTAAACCCATTCATGTATTTTTTTATTTCCATTTTTATTTTACCAATAATTTCAAGATTCTTTGCCCTGGCAAGTCTTATGTGAAAAATTAGAGTTACCAGTTTATTCTCCATATTATAAATTTCTGATTACAGCATCTACCATTGTCACTATTTGTGTTACTTGTATCAAGAACACTTTTCCAATTCTAAATTACCATGTCAAAAGTTTGTTATATTGATTGGATTCTTTTACTTTTTATTCAGATTTATTTGAATATGTTCACTTTTCAAGATTTTTAGTTCTTTTCATTTTTACTTATAATACTTACTCTGAGTGGCTGAAAGACATAGCTAATCCAGGGAACAATTGGGATGGTTTCTCATAGAAATGCTAAAATCACTTTGCAAATTTCACAATTCTTCTTTCAATTATAAATATTCTTATACTTATTATTGACTTTATTTTCTGAGGAAAATATGTTACTGGGGTATGTTGAAGCTGTAGATAGTCTCATGGGAAAGGGGTTGATGTATGAGAACAAAAACATCCTCCTTAAATTTAATTATCCCATTCACCTATTCTGCTACTCTGAAAAAGGACCTTATTGAACTTTAGAATTTCCAAATTCCCTTTTGCCATATCTGTTCTCCATACACCACTAACGAAGTAACATTCACAACATACAGCTCTCATTATGTTATTTCCTCATTTAAAAACTGTTCATCAGCCAGGCATGTGCCCAACAGCTCAGGAGGCTGAGGCAGCAGGATCACAAATTCAAAGCAGCCTAAGCAGCTTAGTGAGGTCTTGAGCAAAATAAAAAATAAAAAAGGCTGGGGAAGTGGCTCAGTGGTTGAGTGCCCCTGGATTCAATCCCTGGCACAAAAATAAATAAATAATTAAAAAACCTTTTATCAGCTAGGTGTGGTGATACACACCTGTAATCCCAGTGACTTGGGAGGCTGAGGCAGGAGGATCACAGATTCAAAGCCAGCCTCAACAATTTAGGGAGGCCCCAAGCAACTTAGTGAGACCCTGTCTCAAAGGAATAAAATTTTTTTTTTGCCTTTTTTTTTTATTGGTTGTTCAAAACATTACAAAGCTCTTGACATATCATATTTCATACATTAGATTCAAGTGGGTTATGAACTCCCATTTTTACCCCGTATACAGATTGCAGAATCACATCGGTTACACATCCACATTTTTACAAAATGCCATATTAGTAACTGTTGTATTCTGCTACCTTTCCTATCCTCAACTATCCCCCCTCCCCTCCCCTCCCATCTTCTCTCTCTACCCCATCTACTGTAATTCATTTCTCTCCTTGTTTATTTTCCCATTCCCCTCACAACCTCTTATATGTAATTTTGTATAACAATGAGGGTCTCCTTCCATTTCCATGCAATTTCCCTTTTCTCTCCCTTTCCCTCCCACCTCATGTCTCTGTTTAATGTTAATCTTTTCTTCCTGCTCTTCCTCCCTGCTCTGTTTTTAGTTGCTCTCATTATTTCAAAGAAGACATTTGGTATTTGTTTTTTAGGGATTGGCTAGCTTCACTTAGCATAATCTGCTCTAGTGCCATCCATTTCCCTGCAAATTCCATGATTTTGTCATTTTTTAGTGCTGTGTAATACTCCATGGTGTATAAATGCCACATTTTTTTTTATCCATTCATCTATTGAAGGGCATCTGGGTTGGTTCCACAGTCTAGCTATTGTGAATTGTGCTGCTAAGAACATCGATGTGGCAGTATCCCTGTAGTACGCTCTTTTAAGGTCTTCAGGGAATAGTCCGAGAAGGGTAATAGCTGGGTCAAATGGTGGTTCCATTCCCAGGAATCTCCATACTGCTTTCCAAATTGGCCGCACCAATTTGCAGTCCCACCAGCAATGTACAAGAGTACCCTTTGGAATAAAAATTTTAAATAAAATTTTTATCAACTTCTCTAAAGAGATAGCAAAATGAGTAAAATGAAGTAATAACACATAAAATCAAAAGAGAACTCTTAATACTATGATACTTTTAAAAAGTGGCTCAGGACATTTCATCTGGAAATTGGATAATTTTTCTGTTGTCCAACTTGTCCTAGCACATGGATAAAGAATGAAAATTTCTCAAGGCTTTTAACAAAACTAATATAATATTGATGTCCAAGTAAGAGTAAAAATAAGTATAGTTTAATTTTATTTGTATTTATAGATGCAAAAATTGACCAATTCTAGAATAAGCAAGATTCAGCAGTGTTTTTTTTAAGTACCCCACACAAATTTAGCCTGTTTTCATTTTTTGAAATCAAGTAGTAGAAAGCAAATTAATAGAATTTGTTCTATTTTAATAGGCCAAAGGAGAAAATATGATTATTTTTAAAATGCCAGAAAACATTTGATTACATTTCATTTTCTTTCTTTTTTAAAACATACTACAAAATTGCACATATTTGGGGCTGGGTTTGTGGCTCAGGGGTAGAGAACTTGCCTGGCATGTGTGAGGCACTGGGTTTGGTTCTCAGCACTGCGTATAAATAAATAAAATAAAGGTCCACTGATAGGGCTGGGGTTGTGGCTTAGTGGTAGAGCTCTTGCCTAGCACATGCGAGGCCCTGGGTTCAATCCACAGCACCACATAAAAATAAATTAAATAAAGGTATTGTGCCCAACTATAACCAAAAAAATAAATATTAAATAAAAGGTCCATTGACAACTAAAAATATTTTTTAAAATTACACATTTTTATATGTTGTAAAGCATGTATGTGTATGTATATTGATAGTCAACCACAGCATGTATTCCTGTGAATGTTAGGTTCAAAACAAGGGCTTTTCTTATCACCACTGTGTAGAATGATTTTGTTGGCAGTTATAACTAAGCAAGAAAATGAAATAATAAAATTGTTGAAGATCGTAGAATACTAAACAATATTGTTCCTTAGCTTTGCCCAAATAACTTTTTTTATCCTTATTTTTCTAAAATACTTTTTTAGTTATAGATGAACCTTTGTTTTATTTATTTATATGCAGTGCTAAGAATTGAAACCAGTCCCTTACACATGCTAGGCAAACGCTCTGCCACTAAGCCACAACCCCAGCTCCTAGTCTTATTTATTTTTTTTATCATCACACCACCACCATCTATATCTCTTAAAATAGTGGTTTTAAAACCTGCTTAGTGTATATATATTCAGTAGGATTTGTTTTAAATATAGTCTTAGATATGTGCTACATGCGATTAAGTGTAATCATTTTGTAGTCTTTACATAATGTAAGAAACATACAGATTAAATGGAAGCAAGACTGCAGAATAAAATAAAAATGAACATTAATGGATTGGTGATATTTTGCTGATGCTAGATTGCTGTGTCTAATTGTGTACTTAGTCTGTTTTTGTATTAGTACTTTTGTATTGGTACATTTGAATGATTATTTGACAAGTATCTTGTATAAAAAATTGTAACTTCAAAGATGTATTTGCTAGTACAGAATAATCAGAACTCATGCCTAATAGAAATTATATCAGCAGGTAAGCCTCAAATGCTGACTGTGTTATCTTATCAATTATTGTTATAATTGGGAACTGAAAAAAATTAATTTTTACTTAACGCTAAATTGTAATATACTAGTATAAGTTATAGAGCCAAATAACTTGGATACATATAGTATTTCTGCTTGAAGTATGGATGATTCCAAATGGAGCTCAGATTCTTCTGAGTTCTGCATGTCTAGCTAGCTATATTCCTGAACCTGGGTTGATTCAGTTTTTTTTTCCATTGGGTTTTAGTTTTGTCTTATATTTTTGCAGTACTGGGAATTGAACCTAGGGGTAGGCATGTGCTAGGTCAGCACTCTACCGCTGAGCTACACCTCACCTTACTTCAACTTGGTGAGAGAAGGTCTTGCTAAGTTGGCAAGGCTGTTCTCAAACTTGTGATCCTCCTGCCTCAGCCTCCCAAGCCACTGGGATGACAGACAGACATTACCACACCCAACTCCTGTGTTCTTTAAGAGATGTACTTTTACTCATTTTGTTTTCATTTGATATGAATGCAGTTGTAAACATATTTGAAAAGGTTGGAAATTCATGAGTCTTAACTAAAGATGTTCCTTTACTGCACAAACTCCCAGCATCTTTAATGTGCTAATGCACATTGTTACTCTACAGGAAGTGAACATATAGTATGCCTCTACAATTTGTACATGAATGTTCTAAAGTAAATCAATTACATACTTTTAGTTGCTATAAAATATAACTCTTTCCTAAATCTCTTGTGTTTTTGAGCCATTAATTTTTCCCAGCCTTTGTTCATCTCTCTCTCTCTCTCTCTCTCTCTCTGTTTCTCTCTTTCTTAAAGGTACCTACTGTCAACAACGGGAAGTAGAGGCCATTACTGAAGGTGTAGAAGAAGATGAAGGATTTTGCTGTTGTGAACCTGGCCATATTCCTCATGTACTTTCATTTAATGCTGCTTTTAGCCAACGCTGGCTAGCTTGGGAAGTGATAGTCACTAAGTATATTCTGGAGGGGTATAGCATCACTGATAATAGTGCTGCTTCTATGCTTCAAGTCTTCGATCTTCGGAAAGTACTCACTACTTACTACGTCAAGGTAAGGGTTGGTGCTTAGTTAGATCTTTGGATAACGGAGGCATTTGGGAAACACAAATACAAATTTTAAATTCCTGCATTGTTTTTAAGTAGTGGTTTAAATTATCTGGTATCCAGAAAAGTCAATAAAGATATGCCTACAAAGGTCTTGATAGTCTTTCTTTTGTGGAACTTACTCCATTTGTTCATTAATAAAAGTAGCTAGTATTTGTAGCTTCTATGTTTTTGGCTCTATGCTAAGGAATATTCACACACAAGCATGCATACACACACGTGTGTGTCTTGCTTTTTGTTTGTTTGTTTGTTTTCACTTTTTTTCCTCCAGTATAGTAATAGAACCCAGGGCTTTCTGCCATTGAGTTATGTTCTCAGTCCCTGCCCCCCACTTTTTTTTTTTTTTTTTAATTAGACAGAGTCTCAAGTTGCTGAGTTTGGCCTTGAACTTGTGATCCTTTTGCCTCAACTTCCAGAACTACAGGGATTTCAGGCATATACCATCACCTTCAGTTCTTAATTTTTAAAAGGAAGTCCTGCATTCTTATTTTATAGATAAATAACTTAAGGATCAGAAGTTAACTTGTCCAAGATCCTCTAATAGCAAATAAAGTTTGGGATTTAAAATTCAGGCATATCTGACTCTTGCACCTTTGCTGTTAACCACTGCTTTGTACTGCATTCAATAGACTGAATAAAAGTATTGCAAAGTTCAGGAGGCCCCTAAGGCCATCCTCACTTCTGACAGCAACTTCAATTTCAGAGTCCCCAAGACCATTCTTAGGTTCAGGGAACTGCTAGAAGGATTCATACAACTCAGCAAAGCTGTTTTACTCACATTGTACTCGTGTTATTACAGTGGAAAAATACAGATTAATATCAGTCAAGCACAGTGTCCAGAGATACTATGGTGAGGCACTTCCAGTTGACCTCTCCCAGGGGAGATGTGTAGATGCCTATTTTTCTCAGCACCAAGGGGTGGCAATAATATGAGAGTTCTGCCAAACCATGGAAGCTCTTCTGAGCTTGGAGCCTTGAGTCTTCATTGGAGTGCGGTCATGTGGAACTGATGACCCAAGTTTCTAGGACTTCTGGAGGTCAGCTTCATACTGTGTGGTTCTAGGCCCCCAGCCAAACAGACTCTCACCAGGCAAGATATTTAAGGGCTTAGAGGTTACTTCCCAGGACCTCAAATCAAAGGCTAGACCTCTCTCATTGGGCAAAGCTAATCTTTTACTGAACAAAATATTCTATTTTTTGTTAAAGGTCTTATGGAAAAATAGCATGGTAGTGGTTTGGGGACTTCTAGGCAAAGCCAGTATTTTTTTAAGAGGGAAGTGTGTGCTAAGCTTTAATAATCCACATTTGAATTTTCTGTATTTTATGCTCTTACCTCTAAGTTGTACCTTATTTATGTTGATTGAGGTGAATCTTGAGCTTACCATTTAATTTTTGGTTCAACCCAACCTCCAGAGGCTAGAGAGATTGAGCTTACAATATTGTGTGTTTGTGGCATTTTCCCTTTATATATATATTTACATATACATGTATGTATTTCCGTTGTTTTATGTTTTTAACTGTATTTCTATAACTTCACTAAGAATACCAGATGGTTTTAATAATTTTATGACAAAATTTTCAAACTAAGGGCAGCCAGTAAATTTTCTTTACCTGTCATAAATATCCTAAATTCAAAAGCACTAAAATCAGTAAGCTACAAGTTGCCTTGCTGAATTTATAGTTGTGGTTTTACAATATCAAATGTGGGATTTTTTTTCATCATATAGATACCTCAGGAAGGCCTGAGGTATATTATGGCATTCTTAAAATGTGTACATGGAGTGTTGAGCTAGAAATAAAATATTTTTGGTTTTAGTATCTGAAGAAACAGTTGAATTTATTACACTGAAAAATCAAAGTTTATTCAAATTGCATATTTTAATGGCAGCATCTGTATATATTAGCCATATTAATTACTAATATAATACAAAGAGAGTGAGGGTTTACTTTGTCATTCCATGAGTTGTTGTTTTTTTGTTTTTATGGGGTTTTGTAGTGCTGGGGATTAAACCCAGGTCCTTGTACATACAAGGCAAGCACTCTCCCAACTGAGCTATATTCCCAGCCCCATTCAATGAGTTTTTATTTTTAACATACTTTTTAATCAGATTTTTAAAAATGTCTTCAAAGTGCCATTTAATTAAATTTTTCCTGTCTTTTACATGTTAGGGTATAATTTATTATGTTACAACATCCTCTAAGTTAGAGGAGTGGCTAGCTAATGAGACAATGCAGGAAGGACTCCGTCTGTGTGCAGATCGAAATTATGTTGATGTGGACCCCACCTTTAATCCAAACATTGATGAAGATTATGATCATCGGTTGGCAGGCATATCCAGGGAAAGTTTCTGTGTGATTTACCTTAACTGGATAGAGTACTGTTCTTCTCGGAGAGCAAAGGTAAGATTGATTTATTTCATTTGCAACTCTTTGAATCCAGATTTTTCCAGAGGTGGAAAGAATATCTCTGTTAGTTATTAAGAGGTCAGTTTTTCCTGAGCTTCCTCTTTCTGATATTAGAGAACCTGTCAGATCTTTACACTTGGTTCAAACCAACTCTGCCAAACAGGTTAAGAAAAGTGGCCCTTCTCATTTCTTTTGCAGTGTCCTAATCTCACTGTTCAGGTAGCACCCCTTCACTGTGTACATGCACGTGCATATACATAAATTCAAATTTCATGCATTATCCTCCAAAATCTATTCCTTCTTAAGGCTGCCCACCAAACTTAAGAATAATTAAATATCTTTACCCTAAATACAAAGGCTAGACCAGTGCTGTCTAGAACTTTGAGTGATGATGGAAATGTTTTTGCTATCCAGTATTACATGTGGTTTTAAATACTTTAAATGTAATCAAATACAACTAAAGAACTAAACTTTACATTCACTTCATTTTAATTGATCTAAATATAATAACTCACATGGCTAGTGACTACTGTTTTGGATAGTGTACATCTAGATCAGTGACTTAGGGATGTACATATAATTGTAGAAACAAATGACCTATGGGCCTCACTTGTGAAATTTTGATTCATTAAGTCCAGACCAGGATTATAAAATCTTGAGTCACCTGGGTGATTTTAATTCAGGTGTTTCCATCTACACATTTGAACAGCCCATTTTATCCTAAAGGTAAGATACTTTACAGAGTTTAGCAGCAACCTCTTCCTTCTGGTCTTAGGGCACTCATAGCAGCATCACATCCCTGGTCAAACTGCATATAACAGAACCACAGTGTCAAGGCCTGTGATTCCAAATCTAATTCCTACCACCACTATTGCTTTAGAAGCAAAAGCCTTGTATAAATCACCAGCAGCCTATTTAACTTGATAACATGGAGCATAGTAAATACCTTGACAACCAGTTCCTTTATTGTGATCTGGGATGTGTACAATTACCATCTTAAGATTTAGCACCTTGTTTTAGTCCTTGGTTTCTGACTTCTAGATACCCCATCAATCAGCACCTTTTTTTTTTTTTTTTCTTTATTTCTTTCTTTTGTATTGGGGAGTGAACCCAGTGATGCTTAACTCCTGAGCTACATCCTTAGCCCCTTTTAAAAAATATTTTATATTAAGACACGATCTTGCTAAGTTGCTGAGGCTGTCTTTGAATTCGTGATCCTCCTGCCTCAGTCTCCTGAGCTGCTGGGATTACAGGTGTGTACCACCATGTCCAGCAATATCTTTTTTCTTTATCAGAAAGAATGGGAGCATCCTTATATTTCCTGTCTGAGCAGTAGTCTTTGAACTTTTATGCTAGATGTACAACATAAAATTACCAGAATGACATGTTTTTAAAGAAGGAATAATGACTAGGATAAAATAACCTCATAAGAGGCTCAAAAACATTAGTAGATAACACTGGAAATGGAGGACCTCAAAGTTTAACCCTTTTTCCAGGTGTCTTAACAAATAATTTTATTTTTTATACATGAAATATACCTATGATGTTTTGCATATTCTTCTCAAATCTCTGGATTTACTTTGTAGCAGAACTATAGAGAGTAGTCATATTTTAATATCCATTCTCTGGCTGTCTACTCATTCAGAAATAGGCTGCATCCTACTTACTTAAGGATCCTTCTCTTAAAGATAATTACTGAGATCATGGACATAGCTTGTGAAAGTCTTTCTGATTGCTAATATAGCACATATTCAAAAAGTGTATCTGAAAATGTGGATATCCCCAGTTTCTTCAAAGAGCTTATTACCAGATTAGCCTAGCTTATATTCTACTCATTGCAATCCCTTTAGGAAAATTATTAGTAGTTGGTTTTTTTTTTCCATCTGTGTGCTCTTCGTTTTCTGCTCTAGTTTTTCTTTTTAAGTTTTCTAGTTTTTCTTTAAGTGAGATTATCCCCAGCTCCTTAAGATCATGCATTTTGTTCTCTGAATCACCATTCCCAGTAACCTCTTCCTGGGGAAGCTCAGTACGCCATAGATTGACTGACTTCAAGCTCTCAGACCTGTGCTGGAATAGTAAGAAGCTGTCTTCATATTCTTCTCCCACAGTTTCCTTCCAAGGCAGTGTTCTAACTTGCATATTATACGGAAATTAAAAAATCATTTTTTCTTCTCTAATTGTGTAGTAGTTGAGTTCTTTCTCCTTTCTGCAGTTTATTAGATATCTTCTGATTTGTTAAATACTTTTTATACCTTTCTGATAACTAATGTTCTTTGGTTTTTAAAGCCTCTAGATGTGGACAAAGATTCATCACTGGTGACTCTCTGTTATGGACTCTGTGTTCTAGGACGGAGAGCTTTGGGAACTGCATCCCATCATATGTCCAGGTAAAGCAGGCATTTCTGTTTTCAAGAAGATATGAGAAGCTATATCTGAAATAATTTTTGTGGAAGCAGTCATTTTATGCTACTTTATTCCAAGTCTCCTTTGATTTTATATTTTTGTAGGTCTTTTTGCTGAACACTATTGAATACTATTATATATGTGGTTAACAAAACTGGCTTTTAAAATTCACATATGAACAACTATTTGTAATGATAATTTAATGGATTTAAGGCATTTTAAAATATAATCACCCTATAAAGTTGACTTGGGTGGAGTTCCATTTACATCTATTTTTTTAATATATTTTTTAATTGTAGGTTGACACAATACTTTTATTTATTTACTTTTTTTTTTAATATGTGGTACTGAGGATCGAACCACTTGCCAGGCAAGCACTCTACCACTGAGCCACAACCCCAGCCCCTACATCTATTTTTCTAATAAATTCATCTACTGTATTTTTTTTTCATTTTTTCTTGCAGTCCTTGTCCAAAGCATTTATATTTTAAACATAATTATATATTAGATGTGGGGACTCTAAATATAAACTAGATTTATTAATATATACATCCAAATGAATTAGAATTAAGAAATATGCCTATTTTAATTTTTTTCTGTAATTACATATTTATATTAGACTCTTATTAATTTATTTTAATTTATAAGTTCTTTATCTGTTGTTTATTTTTATGGACTCACTATTAAAGTGCTTTGTGTACAAGGGTCCCAGATAAAACTGACCCCATCTGTTTTGATTGTGATTTAGGAGTTCTGACTTTAGTTCTGTATTTTTAAAACACTCCCAGATGATTCTGATACACAACCAGATGTAAGCATCAGTGTCTTGGAGACCTTTGTCAAAATATATCAACTTTTATTTCTAATCTTAACAGTAATTTAGAGTCATTCCTCTATGGATTGCATGCCCTATTTAAAGGAGATTTCCGTATTTCTTCAATTCGAGATGAATGGATCTTTGCTGACATGGAATTACTAAGAAAAGTAGTAGTCCCTGGAATCCGTATGTCCATTAAACTTCATCAGGTAAAAAAATGAATATTTTTTTTAATTCATCATAGGGTTTACTAGAGCTTCTTCATTTGACTTCTACATTATACATTTAGGAACATCTTGAGATGTTCTTAATTCTCAAAAAAACGTCATTTGTGGCAAGACATTTAATCTTAAAAGAGTCCTGAACCTGTGTTTCTAAATGTATATAGTAAAATTGAATATTAATATTAGAGAGTGACCAATTTGACATGAAGAAAAATTTAAGCAATGACAAGCTGAAGCCTTTGAGCCTTATAATATTTATTTTGCCTTCAAATGATTATGATTTAGGTCTCCTCCTGAGTGAATATCCACCCATTCCAAATGTAGTGTGGTAATACTTCAGTGTTGTAAGTGCTGTTACTGAGCTAAGTTTCACTTACAGTGTTACATAGAATAATAGTGGTTAGGACAAATCTAGCCTTAATAAATTAATTCTACTAGGCTATTAAAATTAAATTGAGGTCCCACAATGCATTTCCAAGTTCCTAGATCATTCAAAAAAATATTGTGAAATTATACACTGGCACTTGTTCCTCCTCATTTCACTTGACTATAGTTATCAGATCTGATGGTAGAGACCAGATGGTAAATACATCTGCTCTGCTCAAATCTGATTAAATCACACCTCCCCTCCCCCGCGAAGGTGAATTACTCTTCAAATGATTTTACTACTATCATAAATATTGGATTTAAGCTATTATTCCATATTCATTAGGAGCATTACTAACTTAGGATAGGCTGTTTGAAAACCTCTGTGAAAAATGGAATGGAGAAAATCTTCATTTGGAATCTGTGGTCTTTGTTCAGATTAGCTTTAGAGTTTTGAAAGAAAATTCAGTGCATTTAAGAAAAAGATAATGACTTCATGTTAAAATGTTTTTTAAACTTCAGAATTTCTCACATTGTAATCCCAAAGAAAAGAAATATTTGAACAAGATTAAACCTTCTCCATTTTTAGCAAGGGGCTAATGATTTACAACTTTGTGTCCATTTTATTTAGAATGTGACTGTTTTCTAAATCTGGACTTTTATTTTTCATTCAAATAATTGTATTAATGCTTCTGTGCAAAGATGGCATTCCTTCCTTAATGCAACTGTTTGCTACAAGAAAGTACAGAATATGACATCTCTGCTGGCAGGGGAAGTGCAAACTCAGTGTTTAATAGAAAGGAGAGTTACGTGATGTTCAGAAGTCCAAGGCTGCTGATTAGTTTGATAGATTATGAAGGTTGTCTTAGATCAGCTTCTTTAGAAGCAGAGTCAGGGTCCAGGATTCTTAATGCAAGAGATTTAGGGCATGCACTCAAGAGAATATTGTAAGGAAGTTTTAGTACCACTGTTGAAGTTCTGGCACTGCACTTTATGAACTTTTGAAACTTAGGAAGCAGCTCAGCTCCTTTGAGCTTCAGTTTGAGACATGTAAAATCCAGGTATTATCTCAACCTCCTTTATAGAGTTGTAAGAGTCAAATGGAATATGATGTATTGGAGATGTTTTATATAACAAAGTGTGATTCACATGTACAGTATTATTTTCATGTTCTGGGGTGGCCCAGACTTAGGGGCTGCACCCTCACTCTTCTTTTCTTCAGGAAACACATTCTTCAGTCACTGAGTTTGAGTACCAATGAGTTACTTATCTGGATGTAGAAATTTTTCAGCCTCCTAACTATAAATATGAAGGCAGCCAATACAATATTTGCATTTCCTTAATATCATATCATTTCAGAAATTCAGATTTGTGTTATGATTATTTTCTGGATTTGTCCTGTAATCCCTATTAATTTGTAGGTTTGTAAAAGGGAGATGCATTTCATATACTTCTGTGTTTCATTTATGCTGCCTGCCACAGAATCTTGCATAGGGTAGATATTGAATACTTACCAAGTGAATGTGTAGTTATTAAGACCAAGAAGCTTCTCAGGGAAAACTTTACTAGCTTCTCTAGGACCAGAACACTTAATCTGTGCACAAAGCTCAGATCTTTGAGCTGTATCTTAACTACAGAGGGACAAGATAAAATGGGATATTAGAACTATCCAGGGATGTTGCTTTATGTGAAGAGTACCTAGTTTTAAAAAGAACATGATATAGAGACCTCTTCTAGATCTTCCTTTAACTGATAACAGCAGTGAAACAATCCTGTTGGAAAACAATATATATTATTGAAGTATGAAAAAGCAACTTGAAAGAGAAAAAGATGATGTATAAAGATTAGAAATTATATTTAGATGTAGAAGAAAGCGTTGGATTGAGGAATTAACAATAAAGCAGTATAGCAGTAATGAACTAATTCTTTACCTGGTTATAATTAAGAATCTATAATTTATCTCTAATAATATTGTTTGATAAAAAATATTTGTATTAACCCAGTTTATAAGAATTTTCACTTAGTAATTATATAATTCATCTTGGAAGTCATTTTCTAAGAACCGTATGTTTTGTATTTCTGTGTGCTTAGGATCATTTCACTTCTCCAGATGAATATGATGACCCTACTGTGCTCTATGAGGCCATTGTATCTCATGAAAAGAACCTCGTGATAGCCCATGAAGGGGATCCTGCGTGGCGGAGTGCAGTTCTTGCCAACTCTCCTTCCTTGCTTGCTTTGCGGCATGTCATGGATGATGGCACCAATGAATATAAAATCATCATGCTCAATAGGCGCTACCTAAGCTTTAGGGTCATTAAAGTAAGTTTCGAGTCATTGATTGAATTTAAAAAAAACAAAAAACACAAATGGATAACTTGAACCCAACTTTTAAGATGCGAGTGGGATTTTTATATATATGTATATATAAATTTGGCATACTGTGTTAGCACTTACTATTTATGAGTACTTAATTTAACTTTTCTTGTCAATAACTTTCTCTGTCCTAAAATTTTTCTTTTGCATTATAAAGCCTTAGAATTTTTCCTATTTCAGTGTTGATAGTCTTATATTCATTATACGGCAGGTCTTTTTATCTTTTATATATCGATCTGGGCAGCATCTCTTAATAAGTCTGCACCATATTGTTAATTTCAGTTCCTAGATTACAAAATTATTGTATAGCTAAATAGTGATTAGCAGCTAACTGTAAATGGTTCACTCTTTTTCCGTGTGTGTGTGTGTGTGTGTGTGTTTGTTTAGACATCTCAGGGCTATAGGAGGAGCCTTACTTTCTGACATTTTGGTAGTTTGGAATGATTAATTTTTATCTGTATCATTTAATCAATACTCGAATATCATGAACACCCTTTCAACTTGAAATGTGTGTTACCTTTCGTTTCTATCAAAGATACATTTTATGTTCACTGAATTCAGTCTTTCACCAATTAAAAAGAAACTAAATGAACATTTTATTTGATAACATCTGTGAGACAGAAAAAGTGCTCTGTAGGTGCTTTTTATTAACAATCTATTAATAACAAAGGAAAACTGGTTAATTTCTATTCAAATGTGATCTACTCGTGTTTGTTTCAGACTTTTCATAGTAGGTTGGCATTCTCTCTTTTGTATCCCTCCCATTTCTGCTGTTTGTCTGAATCGTATTCTTGGCGCCCCTAACTTGATCCACATGTTCTGGTTTCCAGGTGAACAAGGAGTGTGTCCGAGGTCTTTGGGCTGGGCAACAGCAGGAGCTTGTTTTTCTGCGCAATCGTAACCCAGAGAGAGGTAGCATCCAGAATGCAAAGCAAGCTCTACGAAACATGATAAACTCATCTTGTGACCAACCTATTGGCTACCCAATCTTTGTCTCACCCCTGACAACTTCTTACTCTGATAGCCATGAACAGCTTAAAGAAATTCTTGGGGGACCTATCAGCTTGGGAAATATCAGAAACTTCATAGTGTCAACCTGGCATAGGTAAGCCATGGGGTTGTATTTTTCTGTGGTGGTATATCCTGACCCTCATTATCTAGACAATGTACATTTGCTTTACTTGGGAAGTTTGTAGAAAAAAAAATGTAGATGCCTTGGCACAATGTAATTCTATTATATGTAAAGTTTAGGAAGTTTAGAATTATTCAGCACTTTTATCTTCAAAATCTTATTAGATAAATCTAATATATAACTGGTTAAGAATCGCTGATCTAGTGTTTGAACCTTGAATGATCCTTTAATTTTTTTTTTTTTTTTAAATTCTGTTGCCACTAATCAGACAGCAGACAGCAGACAGGACAAATTAAAAGAAAACACTGAAGAAACTTGCAAGTTGACTGCTTTGTTATCACTCTATTCTTGCAGTAGGGGGAGCACTCTTTACAAGTTGAAACTCAGTGGTCATGAGATGCAGAAACTCTGCTGCTTTTTTAACAATCCAGTCATTGCCGGAATCTCAGTTTTCTAGTGTGCTCAAGAGTGCATGTGAATTTTCTCTCTGCCCTTTGAGTAGTAAATTATACTATACGGTATAGGTGCATCGTAGTTTGGTGGATGATAAAGATATGCTGCAGAACATTGTTTTCAGTTTCTCAACAATTGTTCATATTCTTAATATCAGAATTTAAGGAAAACAGGATCTGGTGGTTAGATCAGGAAACTCTTAAATGAATTTTTAAAAATTTTCCAGGAAGTACCCAGTGCTCAAAGAGCAAAGTTCTGCCATTTTAATATTGGTCCCTGTCCAAACAGAAGACGGAACATAGAAATCCAGGATAGTGTTCAAAGAAATTTTCTCTTTAAAAATTGCCTGTTGTGCTGGAATTAATCTTGAAGAAGTTAAGCTCTTTCCCCCTAAGAGCAATACCACAGAGACAGTGTCACTAGCTGTTCTGATCTACCCAGGATTGAGAGCTTTCTGGGAATGCAGAACTTTCACTGCCAGTAAGAGACAATCATGGCCAACCAAGACATTTAAACATCAAAACAAAACAAAAAAAGGAAAAATGGTTACAGCGTCTTTCTTGAAGTATGCTACAGTAGCAGGTTTTCAGGGGTTGCACACTTCAGGAATCAGTGAACAGACACTGCCAAGAGTTCTGTTTGCAGCTAGGTGTGGTGGTGAATACCTGTAATCCCAGAAGCTCAGGAAGCTGAGGCAGGAGTATCCCGAGTTCAAAGCCATCCTCAGCAGAAGCAAGGGGCTAAGCAACTCAGTGAGACCCTGTTTCTAAATAAAATACAAAATAGGGCTGGGGATGCAGCTTAGTGATCAAGTGCCCTGAGATCAATCCCTCGTACCCGCCCCCCCCTAAAAAAAAAAAAGCTATTTCTATTTCTAGCTAAGATCCTTTTTTTTTTTTTTTTTTTTTTGGTACCAGGGATTGAATTCAGGGGACACTTGACCACTAAGCCATATCCTCAGCCCTATTTTGTATTTTATTTAGAGACAGGGTCTCTCTGAGTTGCTTAGTGCCTTGCTGTTGCTGAGGCTGGCTTTGAACTCCCGAGCCGCTGGGATTACAGCATGCACTACTGTGCCCGAATCTAGTTAAGGTCTTAATGGTGCAACTGTGTCTTATACAGTTCTTCATTATGGTTAGCAAAGATGATAAAGGATATAAAAATGAAGAAGACTGGAAAGATTTGAGGCATTGAGCAGAAGAGGGATAGAGTACTTAAGCCACTCTTAGAAAACAGATTTTTATTCCTATTATTGCTTACGTCATAGACTTTTAAAGGTGGGTTAGACAAGATGATGCACGCTGTAAAGCCAGTCACTCTGGAGACAGAGGTAGAAGCAACCCAAGTTCCAGGTGAGCCTGGGCACTTAGTGAGACCCTGTCTCAAAATAAAATAAACAGAGCTGGGGGTATAGCTCAGTAGTACAGAGCTTTTCTAGCATGCATAAGACCCTGGTTTCAGTACCCAGTAATGTCAAAAAAAAAAAAAAAAAAAAAGACTTTGAAGGCTCAGAATACCTGGAAAAATAATAATGAATTTATATTTTGAAGTAATCTTGGGATAATGCTTCCTACTCTGGTATTTTATCCTAGACTAAGGAAAGGTTGTGGAGCCGGATGTAACAGTGGTGGCAATATTGAAGATTCTGATACTGGAGGTGGAACTTCCTGTGTTGGTAACAATGCAACAACTGCCAATGATCCCCACAGCAATATGTCCCAAGGAAGCTCTGGAAATCCCGGGCAGGGATCAGGAACTGGACTTCATCCACCTGCTACATCTTACCCTCCAACTCTAGGTAATATGAGGAAAGTTTTTGTGTAATATGAACCTTTTAGCCACGGGGGCCAGTTAATGTGTGTAGAAAGAGGAATTATCTACTTGGAAATAGATCAGTAGATCTATTGCTTGACACTCAACTGTACATTAGCCCAGGTTTATATTAATAATTTATATATGTAAAATCTTGACATATAAATATATATTTACTTTATTTGATATAAACATTTTATTAATGGTATCAAAGATTCTTTAAAGTGCCATTTTAAAGACTAATATAATATTTTATTTAACATCTATTGAACAGCAACTTTTTTTTTCTGTAATACTCTTTGCATATAAAGCTTTATAATCACTATTTTCTTAGGTAGGATATTTTAAAAATGAAATCACTAGGACAGAACTTTTGAGAAAGATTCTTGATACCTAATGCCAAAAGTCTTTCCAGAAAACTTTCTCACTGGTTGGTATACTCAGCAGTTGTGAAGCAATGCCAAGTCATCGAGTCATCATCCTCCCTGCTTGCGTATCATCATGTTTTCCTCTCTGCTCCCTATTTGCAAAGGTGGGGGCAGGGTTGTCTTTGATTTTATTGTTTTAATTTGCATTGCTCTAATATCCAAAATTGGGAATTTTTAAATGATCTGTTATTTCTTTTTCTTATTTTTCTACCTGGTTATCTTGTTTTGTTATTCTATATTTTGTATACTCTGTATTTGAACTCTTCATTAATTTTCTGTACTGAAGAAGTATCTCTTCCCTTGGCTTTTCATTTTCTTTTTATGACGAGTGGCTTGTGCTTGGTGCGATGACACACACCTGTAAATCCCAGTAGCTCAGGATGCTGAGGCAGGAGGATCGTGAGTTCAGATCTAGCCTCAGCATTGTAGAGAAGCCTTAAGCAACTTAGCAAGACCCTGTCTCTGAATTAAAAATAAAAAGGGATGGGGATCCCCTAGCACCAAAAAGAAAAAAGAAAGTTTTTAATTTTATTTATTTTGTTTTTTCTTTTTCATTGGTGCATCATAATTACACATAATAGTGGAATTCGTTTTTACATATTTGCTCATGCACATATATGAACGATATAATTGTGTAGATTAAGTTTCTCAGTACCTCCCCTCTACCTTCCTCTTGGTCCTCGACTCTACTGGTCTCTCGTCTATTTTCATGAGATCCCCCACCTTTCACCCCTTTTTTTCCCCTCTCTAGCTTCCACATATGAGGAAAGATACACAACCCTTGACTTCTGAGTTTAATTTACTTCACTTAATGTAAGAAGTTTTTAATTTCAGTGTAGAGTGATCCACTAATCTTTCCCCTTATAATTAGTACTTTTTGTATCCTGTGTAAGAAAAATTTCCCTAGCCCAAGACTTTTACTAAGTCACCTTTGACAGGAGCCCTGCCGTCTACCTGTTGTGCACTAGGAATCAGGCTTCTGTTGTTTCTGTGTACCTGGGCAGTTGAGTCAGCACTGTCCTTTCCTCCTACTGCTTTGCATGGATCAGATAAAATTTTAAAACTTTTACTAAATTTTTTTTAAAAAATATATAATTGGATTAGAATTAAGACTCTTCAGTATATATATATAATCAACAAAATAGGATTGGGGATGTGTCTTAGTGGTCAAATGCCCTTGAGTTCAATCCCTGTTCTTTTTTCCCTCAGAGTGAAAACTAGAAACTTTTTTAACCTTTATTTTATTTATTTGTTTTTATGTGGTGCTGAGGATCGAACCCAGGGCCTCACATGCGTTAGGCAAGTGCTCTACCACTGAGCCACAACCCCAGCCCTGAAAATTAGAAACTTTTAATGTGCTTCTTTAAATGTGCCTTTTACTTTTAACATTGATTATTAGCTCTTTTTATTTTCAGGTGTAAAGTACCCATAGCTAAGTTTTGAGTTTAACTAATGATTATTTCCTAATACTCTTCACATTACTCTTATAAAGAGTCAGGAAAAAGACAAGTCTGAAGAACCATGTCAAGCCACTTGAGAAAGGATATGGAAAAGCCTGCTATTCACTGTCACTGATAATTTGTATTCAGTGGTAATCCCTTAATCAGGGTAGGATTCACTTCTCTCTAGAGGCAGTTGCTTGTTGGAATAGAAGAAAGGACATTAATATACTTGGAGAAATAGTATCTATAGAGCTTGCCACATGCCAGGTCCTTCATAAGCATTTGTCTTTTTCTAATCACCAAAAAGATTATATATATTTGTGGTACATAATGTGATGCTTTGATATGTGAATACATTTGTGAAATGATTGAATCAAGCTAGTTAACATACCCATCACCTCATACTAACCGTTTTTTTGTGGTAAGAACATTTTAGATGTGCTCATTCAGCAATTTTCAAGCAGATAGCACATTATTACTGTCGTCACCATGCTGTGCACATCTCCAGATCTACTAAAACTGTTTAACTGAAACTTTGTACTCTTTGACCAGCATCTCCCCATTTCTTCTCTCCCTTCCCCTGGCAACAACTATTCTGTTCTCTGTTTCTGAGTTTGACTTTTTTAGATTCCACTTATACATACAAGTGAGATTATGCAGTTTTTTAATATATATTTCTGACTGTCTTGTTTCTGTGAAATATTTTATTTCTGATGTATTAAGGAAATATTCTTAAGAAATATTTCTGTGAAAGATAGTTTAGGATTTATCTCAACCCTGACATTTGCTGTAAGTTATTTATGTCTCTCTTTCTGGTAACTAAAAAGTTTTTACCAAGTAAATTTACCAAGTAATGAGGGAGAAAGTCTTGGAAACTGCAGCATGAAAGCACCTTGTATTACTTCTTGCACTTCCAGTGAGGGTTGTCCTTGTTGTTCCCGCAGGCACTAGCCACAGTGCTCACTCTGTGCAGTCGAGCCTTGTCAGACAGTCCCCTGCTCGGGCCTCTGTAGCCAGCCAGTCTTCCTACTGCTACAGCAGCCGGCATTCATCTCTCAGGATGTCCACCACAGGATTTGTGCCTTGTCGGCGCTCTTCCACCAGCCAGATATCACTTCGAAACTTGCCATCATCCATCCAGTCCCGCCTATCTATGGTGAACCAGATGGAGCCCTCCAGTCAGAGTGGGATGGCTTGCGTACAGCATGGCCTTCCTTCTTCAAGCAGCTCCAGCCAAAGCATCCCCGCCTGCAAACACCACACTCTCGTGGGCTTTCTTGGGACAGAGGGGAGTCAGAGCAGTGCCACGGATGCCCAGCCAGGCAACACCTTAAGTCCTGCAAATAATTCGCATGCCAAGAAAGGGGAAGTGATTTACAGAGTCCAAGTGAGTAAGCCCAGAGGTCTTCCTTTCTGTTGCTCTTTTTGTTTATATATGTCTTATTTGTTGAGTGAAGAACTCTCATAAAAATATATCTTCTAGAGTATTTAGTCAGAAGATTAAAGCACTGTTGAATGAATGTTGAAAAAAAAGTTTCTACCAACTTAAAAATGGATATCAAGCAGTTGCAATATTTGTTCCCCATTCAGCATTGACCTAGCCACTGCAGTAGGCTGAAAAGAATTGGGGACGTGGTTTTTTAGAAATTTTTTCCACTGTAATGAGCCAGAGAACTTGAAATATATAGAGTCCCCTGAAAGAAATTTTATTTGGAATTGGAGTATTTTTCATCAAGAGAAAATGAATTGTAAATGATCCTTGTTTATTTAAAATATAGATTGTGGATCCCACCCAAATTCTGGAAGGGATCAACCTGTCAAAAAGGAAAGAGCTACAGTGGCCTGATGAGGGAATTCGATTAAAAGCTGGGAGAAACAGCTGGAAAGACTGGAGTCCTCAGGAGGGCATGGAAGGCCATGTAAGTCTTCTTTTGAAGATGCCTGGTTCTCCAGCATTCTTTTTTTGTAGTGCGACTTGTATGCATGGTTTGGACTGGCTTATGTCTTTGAGCTTGATTCTCAACAAAATGTTCTCTCTGCTCCCAAAGGAAAGAGTAGGTGAGTACATTCAGCAACTCCACCACTGACTGTTTCTTTTGTTCTGAGTCTTTAGGTGATTCACCGATGGGCGCCTTGCAGCAGAGACCCAGGTACGAGATCCCACATCGACAAGGCAGTGCTTCTGGTCCAGATTGATGATAAATACGTGACTGTGATTGAAACTGGGGTACTAGAACTTGGGGCTGAAGTGTGAGCTTGTGTTTTGTAGCCAAATTTCTTTTCCCTCTCACTTCCAAAACCTTGGAAAAAGAGGAGCTTCCAGAAGATGCCCACAGGATCACTTTGATCTTATATGGGAGAGACTGGTGAATAGTGGCGTGGTTCAGCATCTCCCCCTTCACCCTGGCTCTTGTCATTGTCTCCATTCCCAAATAAAGCTGAAATATTTTTTTAAGTTAACCACAAGAAAACATTTTGCATGGAGGATAAAGTTCTGTTAAAATACATCTTTAAAAAGTTTTTCCTATGCATTGCCTATGCTTTAAATCAACAAACTCTTAATTTCTAAACTATGATTTCATATTTTTCTAATTTCTTTGCCAAAAAGAATTGCCATGTGTTGTTATGGAACACAAAATCCATTGACCTTGATTTTCACAAAAGACCCTTGTGGAAGCGTTCGGTTTGACACTTAGCAGTATAAAAATTAAATGTACAGTGTGAGAGACGATGAACAGACATAGATTTATCTTCTTATTCCTCGAGCGCTAAAAACTTTAATGAAAGAAAACTGCACTAATTTTTTACAACAATGCACTAAATTCTGAGATTTCTCAGAACATTTATTTATATATATATAAAATAAAATACCATTATTTAAATTGCCTTTGGGATTAACCCTTCCTTTCCTGATAAACATAGTTGGCAGGAACTGTGCTGCTCATTTTTCTGTTGGTAGTCTGTATACTTCATGCCAGTATGTTGGATGTGTTCTCTAAGATGAATACAAAATCTCAAGATACATATAGCTTCATCTTGACACTTCCTGGAGCTAGTGATCAGTGGATCGGTCATGTGAACACTACTGCCAGCCACTGTGTCCACATCTTGGATGAGGCCCTTGAAGTATGTGCTCACCCACCTCCCTGCTCAGGGCATGCTTTGCCCAGGTCAGTTCTGGGAAGAAAATGCTTTTGCTTTTCAAAGAAGAAGATGAATGTCCAGGAATTCAAAGAAAGAACTGATTGCCTTTTCTTTTAAGAGTCCCTAGCTCTTGAAGTTATTCACGTGAAGTTCAGTTTCTCAAGTAAAATTTTTTTTCAAACAAAATTATCCAAATGGTGCAGTTCTTATTGTTGTATCCCTCTTTAATAACTTTGCTTTTAATTTCCCCCTCTTCTTTTTCTATTACTTGAATTTTATTTCCTGTAACTTATATTGTATGCTTGTAATTTGAAATATTTATAACTGTGAAATTGACTTAATTCATATGTTGTCTCATAAATTATATCGGTTTTTAAAGTATGTATTCAGGGAAATATATAACTCAGATTTACAATTGGGCTATGTGGGACAGCAACTTAGATTTAATTTGCAACTTTCAATGTTTTTTAAATTAAAAATTCCCTTCAATTTGAAACTCCAAAGAAAATTATACATCTCCTCTGAGCATTTGGGAGCAGCCATCTTTCTACCCATTGGGAATAGACAGTTTAAAAAAAAAAAGTAAAATTAACTTTGGTACATTTTATTTAATTCAGTATGCCCAGGCTATTAGCATTTCAACCTGTGGCATGCACTGACCATATTTCACATACTCAGTAGCTATGTGCCTAGTGGCTGTTGTGTTGGACCGCACAGGTTTGTAGTATCTTTTGATAAGATGACAGAAGAGAACTGTTTTTCCTACTAGTTCTATTGTGTTGATACCACAGTATAGCATAACATTGCAGTAGAGGAAATGAAAACTAATAGCTGATATAAAGAATCTTGACATTTCCACTCAAAACCTTCTTATTTTCCTTTTTGGTAATTTTAAAATCTCTGGCCATTCAGAACCCAATGTGCCTTGTGTTAACATTTCCATAGACTTCATACTTTGCAAATGTTATTGTCTAAAAATATTTGTCAAATGATTTACTGAAGTTTTACACAAAGGAACCCTTCTAAATTGACCATTGAAAATGTATATTTTCCTAATAGTGTCATTATGTTGTATATTTTGCCTCATTTTGGCAAATCTGTGGTATAGAATAAGTTCAGTATTGTTTTTTTCTGAAACTGAATATATGATATATCTAATTTTTAAATCTTCTCAAAGGGATTATGCTCCCTCCTGCTTGCTCCCTCTCTAAAATTAATATGATTTATTCATGGTCATTGCCTAGATAGACAAGTGGACTTTTCAGTCTTAGATGGAAGATAATCCATTTTCCACACAAAGAGGAACAAAATAATCTGAACTTCAGATGATTCCATCAGAAGGGCTAGAATTCTTTTTATTCCTAGCCATCGCCGTTCACCACCACCCCTCCCCTCCCCTCATTGATACATTAGATACTCTGAAAATTTAGATTTCAAATGCAAAACTGGATTTTGTATGAAACATATTGAGTCTTAATTTGGGATAGCAGTTGGTGGACATTTTTCTTGAAACAAGTTGGATTTTGTTATAATTCTTTACTAAATTTATATATAAGGAGCCCTAAGAGAAGCCATGTTCTTATATTTTAAATCTAAAATTGATAAAGTCTTTAAAAAATCATAACACTTTTCTAATTACTTCAGGGGAAATAGTAAAAATTGAAGAAAGACTTGTGTCTTAATAATCTGATCTAAATTAATGAGAGTATATATTTCTATATAATAAATTGACTATAAATGTCTTATTCCTGTCCCCTCTTCTTCTAGACAATAGTGAGCTATTGGTTTAAATTCTCTGCTTAAACTTTTTCATTAATGTACAGGGCTTAAACATACATTAGTGTTTTTAATTCGTTATCACCAAAACTTTCAGAGTTTCATAATTTGAAAGCAAAGAGATTAAAACACTAGTGTTTTTTTTTTAATTTCCTTAGAGTAGAATTGCATGATTGAAGTCTTTGTTTTTTCTTGTTTGATTTTTATCTCCCTTTTGAAAGTATAATACTGGAATGAGTTGTAAGTTGTTGTCTTTTTAAGTTTTTTTCCTCTTATTTAGTGACAAAAAACATTTGTATTACTACAGATTAAGCTTTAGTTTACCTTCCACATTATACCTTGGTGTGAGTTCTTTATACCATTTTCAATATTTGATAAAACTTTAAATGTTGACTTTTTTGCTAAAGAGCTTTAATTTTACCAAGAATCTAGGTTAACATAAGATGTTGATATTTATGGAGTTTGGGAGAGTCCTCATGAGGCTATCTGTGTATTTTTAAGATGAGATTATCTTTTAGGAAATTAGTGAGCAGACTTTTTAAGTTTAGTGTTTTGCCTTCTTTGGGCCTATATTATTGGAGGATTACATTCCATTAGATTTGAAATATTTTGAAAAATATTTCAATGATATCTGAAACATTTCTAATCTTGAAACAGAAGATATCAGACAATATTTTTACTATGAAGGATATATGGAAAATTCTTGGGCACCAAATGTCAGCCAAGGAAAATACAAGTTTTCATATAAGAAACTGTAGCTTATTAAGAAAATGTATTATTCCTTCTGGATTAGTTTATTTTTCCATCTCCTATCAAAATATAAATCGCAGCTTCACATCTAAGTGAGGGTACTCAGCCTGAATAAATCCCACTTTGCTTTAAACAGCATCCTCCACTTATGCTTAGAAGCTCATCTGCTATATTGAGCTGTTCATCTAGAACTGGGTGTTTTCAAACCTAAGACTTTGTCCAGTATCTAAAATTGTCTTTTAATTTAAGCTAACTTTAAAGCATTCTTAGTCCTAAACAAATATGTGACTTGAGGAAAAAATAGTAGTAGATTTATGTAAGAATTTTTTGACTTTATGTTTACTAGCTACAAAACAAACTGCTTCCCAGACTATTTATTTATTTATTTTTTTGCAGTGCTGGGAATGGAACCCAGGGCCTTGTGCATGCAAGGCAAGCACTCTACCAACTAAAGCTATATCCCCAGCACCCCAGACTATTTTTTAATTTTATTTTTGTTTTAATTATTTTTTATGAATATAAATTAATCCCTTTCTGATATTTCTTAGGTTTTTTTCTGGGGGGGGGGGGTACCAGGGATTGAACTCAGGAGCACTCAATCACTGAGCCACATCCCTAGCCCTATTTTGTATTTTATTAGAGACAGGGTATTACTGAGTTTCTTAAGTTTCTCTAAATTGCTGAGGCTGGCTTTGAACTCGCGATCCTCCTGCGTCTGCCTCCCAAGCTGCTGGGATTATATGTGTGCGCCACCACACCCAGCCTCTTAGTTGTTTTTTAAATTCCTCTGTATTCATTCTCATTTTCTTTTACATTATAGTGTAAAATAATCATATAAAATTACTTTGGACACAGACCCAGTTAATTTTTTTTCTTTTGATATGCTACATATCAAATAAGGCATAAAATATCCCTTTTAATTTTAGACAGTTTTCCTTTAACTCTTAAGATGAATAGAAAGAAAAATGTCAATCAAGGTACCTAGAACCTGTTAGTGGACTTTGAATTTTCTTTTTCAAATTTATGTGGACACTGAATTTTATTGATCAAGAGAAAAAGGAAAATTAGATACTACCATGTACTTAGCATAAATTTTAATATTACACTGAATATGTGTAGGGTTTTTTAAATATTTAAAAACTAGCCCCTTTTTTCTTCATTTCTCTTAAGAATAGATTAGTTGATAAACACCCAGGACTTCTTTTAATCTTATTAAATGTTTAGGTAAGAGCTATAATTGGAAAGGGATTATTATAAAATAGATCTGTTAGAATATGAATAGAGTATTAATTTTGCTTGAAACAGAGGTATATTTTCTGCTATGAATCACCTCACCAGTCATCTCTCAAGAATTATGTGTGTAAGAATTTCTCTTTATTGCCTATATGCCACATATTATTTCTGAATTAGGGTATATAACTCATTTGTGAGCTGAATTTCATTACCTGCCGTTTTGTGGAATCAACACTCTGGAGAAACTAGAGCTGATTGTCACTGCAAGGTCACATGACAACTTTGTCCTAAGACTTATACCTATTATATAGGGTCTTACCATTTTCTTACGCCTCAGCTCTGTACCTGACCTTTTATGATTCAGTGGAGCCAAGCTAGAAGCAGCAAAGGTCATGTGACATGTGATGAGGATGAATTCCTGGGTGTTGCCTGCAAAGATGAGGTGATGCCCTGGAAGTCAGAATAGAGAGCTGACAGAGAATGAGATGGCTGCTCCAGATGACTCTCGAGTTTAGTGTACTTGTAGTTGAACAAGATTTTTTTATATATGAAGCTTGATTATACAACCAAAATAATGAAAATGGGTGGGGTCATATCTGCTTATGCTTTTTAAAAGCTTATAGT